AACTCTGAAAATAGGTTATTAAAAACATTGGGAAGGTCTGTCATAACTTAGTAACTTAGAACAAGAGTTAAGCGACTGATTATAAGTAAAGGATTACCTGTAGTGCTTCCTTAGTTCAATAGTACTGGGAACGTTTGTGATACATAAAAGACATTTACAAAATCCACAGCCACATCAGTGATCTTAAATTGGAACAAATGTGTATCATTTTCTATATCGAGGTTGAAAACAGAATCAATGCCACTTTTTAAAGGGATTTTCTAGTTCCCCCCCATTAATTATAATGTTTATTATATATTATTTATGTTTATATATATTTATTGGGTCACCAATATATTTTTAAATAAATAAATAAATATTATGTAGTAAATCAAATTTAAATTGAAGTAAATTAGGTCACAGATATATAATAACTGATAAAAATATTACAGTTCAGCTTTGCTGAAAATATTCTATAATATTTGAAGTCACTACTAGTACATACAGGAATACAAACCAACAAATATTTGTAAATGTTTTGTATATAACAAATAAAAGAACACTGAAATTTTTGCAAGTGGCAAACCAAGACTAGTTACCTCATTTGCTCATTAACCAACATAGTTTATACAGCAAATGATTTGACCATTACATTAGATGAGAAATGTGAAAAGAATTGTTTTTACTATTTTAATAAATACTATTTTATTAAAAACTTTAAATGGATTCTTAAACTCTACAAACCTTCATGTCTCTATATGTGTACACATGCACACAAATGAGAGTCAGTTTTCTAACAAAGAATTTTTAATTCAAGAAATACTAATATTCAGTTGAAGGACAATAGAGAGCATCTAAATACAGACAGTCCACAATCCCTTTGTGTTTACATGTGAAAATACTTATGGTTTTGGAGATATTACATTTCTGAAAAGTTTGAATCCATAGTGAAAGAAAAATTAATAGAAAATTCTTTGAGTGAATGAATTTTTTTTTTGAAAAAGATAAAAAGATTGGGAGAAACATGGTTTGATTCCTAATTTTTTTCTGAGTCTATATTTTTATATCTATGTGTCTATATCTTTATATAAGTATCTGTCATAAGATCATCTGAGACAGAGTTCCCCAACCTTTTGGGGTTGGAGCCCCAGAGTGGGGAGAGGGGGAAGAGATGTTTTTGTGGAAAGGATAAATGCCTGAGCACGGGTATGCATGCTCATGGAATACGTTCGTGCGAGTGGGGCCATGAGCGCCCACAACACTAAATGAGTGGAGCTGCGAATGCCCGCAGCGCTCAAGCAAGTGGGACTGCAAACACCTGTGATGATGCTTGTATGAGTGGGAGTGTGTGCGTGCGCACACACACATGTGCACCAACCAGCCATTCACACGGCCAAGTGGCCAATAGGCCATGGCCCACAGGTTGGGGACTCCTGAGAGATAATTCCTGAAGTATGTGGATACAGTTGCAAAGCATAGAAAAATTTATGCACAGGAGTTAAAATCATTAGTTTAGATATACTTTTGTGCAGTTACACAATGTATTTACATATGCTTTCCACACTGCTTTTCTCAACTATTCAAGCAATCCTGTCTGCAGCTCGCAGTATTATCAATCAATGACTGTGAAGGAGAGGTATCCTATACTTGGATGTTTGTTAATACATCTGGATTGTATGCAAGGCATGTATGTTTGTGGTCAGCTTGTGTTTTCAGACTGGAAAGCAGGGAAAAAATGTTACATTTTCTTCACCTATATTAATGGATTAGGAATTTAGAATTTTTATAATTGCAAGTTATTCTATCTTAATCTTTTTGATAATTGATTTGAGTACTTGTCTGAAAAAAGCATGATACAAATTTAATATACGTTTTACCTTAAATCTAAATAATGTGTAATTTAATTAATGTATTAATATTTGAGAAACTCAGACATCTTATGTGTGAATACTTAATGTGAGTGTGACACTACCCTTATTTGGACTAAAGTTGAACAGCTCCAAATTCTGTCTATAAAATTAGAATTTAACTATTAGATTGCTACACACACACAAAGCCATAATCTTTTCACAGCTTCAATACATGTCAAAAGTTTGCAGATTAGTTTTCTACATATGTGAATGTACAGCTGAGAATTTAGAACTAATTCATCAATTTTTAAACAGAAAAAGACCTAATATTTATAATAGAAACTTACGAGAAATATGAGTTGAACTAGAATTGAACCAGAAGCAAAATGTACATCTTTTAGAACTCATGACATGAATCCAGTTCCTAGTAGAAATGAATAAAATAGTTCTACTAGCAGTTCTAGTATCACAAGTTTACCGCAGACTGGTTGTATCTGTGTAATAAGTTCACATGTGCACACTGCACTCACCTAGCAAAAATACTGGATATTAGACAGACGTACACTGGTTATTTATTGTATTAGTTTATACAAACTAATAGTATTAGTTTATATAAACTAATAAACTTAACTTTAATTAACATCACATCTCCATGTGTTTCTGGTTCCCATCCTTACCAATGCTGTGATATTCCTGTTTTGGAGAAAGATCAATTCTGAAGGAGGTCCAAACACTGAGTGTACTGGGAGCTCTGCTGACAGAAGCTACAAGGCCTCCACTTTCCAGAAGCTGGATTCCAGCTATGGTTTTTAGGATACAGCCCAGTGAAATTAAGCAAATTAGTTCTAGAGTCCATGTATCTCTTAATGTAGAAAATACAGAAGAATATTTTGTATTCTTTCTTATAATACAGATATTAATATTAAGTATTAAATACTTTTAAATAATAGCAAAGGTATTTAGACTTATATACCACTTGATAGTGTTTTACAGCACACACAGGGCAGTTTACAGAGTCAGCATATTGCCCCCAACAAACTGGGTTCTCATTTTACTGACCTTGGAAGGATGGAAGACCTAATCAACCTTGAGCTGGTCAGGATTGAACTTATGGCTGTGGGCAGAGTTTTTTAGCCTGCAATACTATATTCTAACCACTGTGCCACTATAATTAAAATTATCCTGAATTTTAGTTTCCCTTTTACTCATTTATTTATCAAAAAAGCTTCTGTTATTAATTTTTGTAAATGTTTTTAAGATGCAATTATAGAATATTCTTTTTTTACTTTCACAAACTTAGCACCGGGAGATTGGGAAAATGTTAATAAATTTACTCTTCTATTTTGAATAGTGTGAATTTTTTGGGGAATTGCATAAAATAGCTGACGTTTGCTAATTAGCTTCATTATTTATTTGCTGTTAGCTTTCATGTACTATTCCAGTAGTATCCAACTCTACAGCAAGTTGCAAACTGCCACAGAAAATGTGTTATGTTTATATTTGCTAAATTGTTTTTTCAATACCAAATAAATATCAGCGAAAAAGCATTTTCCCTTCCGTTTAGTTTTTAAAAAAGAAGTTTGAAACTATGTGATAAATCAATACAATTTGACATAAACTTTCCCCATTGTTTTAATTTATAATTCATCAATCTTTAATAATACAACCCTGTAAACACTCACCAAATAATAAGCTCCACCAAACATAGTTTGATTTCTAGAAAAATATGCAAAGGATTCTGCTGCAAATTATTAAATTGTGTTAATCTCAATGCGTACACTGTTAATTTAGAGATCTCAGAAAATATTCAACATAATTGGGAACTAGGAAAATATTTGTAATTATTTTAAAATCTATATGCTGCCCAACATCAAGCAGTTCACAAATAAAAACACTAAAAACAAGATAAAATAAACAAAATAAACAAAACTGAAGAATAAAATATGGCAAGGATGACAAAAAAGATAGTAATTAAATGCACAATACAAGGTTGGAAGGGCTTCACTCACTCTCACCAAAGATATTTGGCCCCAAAACCCAAGAAAGATATATAGAATTACTTCTGAGCAATTTCCTTTATTGTTCCTCAGCTATAGACAAAAACCTAACTAATATCTTTCCCAAACCTAGATTAAGGGATGTTTGAAAATCCTTTAAAAATAGATTTTCAAAGAAACATATTTAAGTAATATTAAAATGCTGTGAGACTGTAAAGTTTCAGTATGTTAAAAATTACCTGAGGACGCTTAACACTCCCTTCAACCCAAATTTTGCAGCAATACTAATAGTCCGTACAAGAATTTCTTCTTCAGTATGACATAGTACCTCAAGACTTACACTAAGTTATAGATTAGGCTTATAAAGTCCAAAGGAAAGATGAGTAAAAAAGTTGTAAGCTACTGACAGGAAAGCTACAGAAAGTGATCTTCTGGATCTTCTGCTTGGAACACTGAGGTAAGATGGTTCATTTCAGCAACTATCCCAATGGAAATGCTTTCACTGTCCCTAAGAAAAAGTCCTAAAATGGCCACACAAAGACTTCAAAAATCACAGATACCTCAAGACTCTGAGCAGCAAAGAATGGTTTGCAGAGCTGCAATAGTTTCCTTCCCACCATTGGAACATGAAGCAAACAAGGATATTTAACTTTTTACTTTCATTCTTTATTAAAAAAATAGTACAAATATTGACATGACTATTTAATTAACTTAAATTAGTACTGAATATATATATATATATATATTCTGCTCGAAGCACGAAGCTGAAAACACCAGCCTGAAGATGACGAATGGGACTTCGTCGAAACGTCGCCAAGACACTTCCAATTTTACGCGGGAGAAAACCCGAACAACCAAAGACCTATATACAAACACCCGTGAAAACCTCAGAAAACATATATATATATATATATATATATATATATATATATATATATATATATATATATATATTATATATATATATATATATATATATATATATATAAAAATACACACACACACATAGACACACAAACATATATATTGTTACGCTTAGATATACTGGGGGGGGGGGTTGTTGTTTGCTAGTTTGCTACCTTTTACCTGATATGCATTTACTTGTTATACTTGAAATAAGATATATTCTCTTTGGGATTTCTTTGGGATTCTGTTTTATCTGATATAAACCTACCTTTTTATCATATACATCTTGCCAATTTATTCCAGCAAAGAAGCTGTGTCGCATAATTTCTTTAGCATCATCTGGTCCTCCACCAAGACTATTGGGGGAAGAGTGTAAATAATACAATTCTTATTAGTAAAAAAAGAAAAGAGGGGAAAAAAATACCCAGAGACCCATGTGATCCCTAAAAAAAATTAAATTTATTCCATGAAATAACTTGAGATTTAATAAGTAAGCCATCTAATAATTAAAAACACAACTTTCAAGTTGGAGAATTTGTTTTGAAATATTAACAATGCATATATTATTATATGCCTTCCTTAATACAATTTGGAACTCATGTACTTTCACTTGCAGTTATTAAAATTTGCTGTCTAAATTAATTGAATTGAAAATATAGGAATGCTCATACAGATTTTAATCCTAAAGCATAAACTGAATTTTGCATGAGACAAAGGCACATTAGAAAGAGTTTTCTGCACTTTCTGTTCCTTTTACTTCAACTGGGGCCCCACCTACGTGATAGAGCCAATCTGTTGGTATTGTTGATGGTTATTTTATGATTTTTGGATCCTATGTTTTTTTATTTTATATTATTTGTTTTATTTTTTTGTAAATCACCCAGCATCATGTATGTGAGATTGGCAGCTATCAATCAAAGTAATAATATCTGAAAGTGTTGTAAGATAAAAGACACAATTCAGAAATTGAGATCCCAGGAAGTATGTCTTAGTGCTTCTATCAGTCACACTGTTTATCAAAACAACTTGAACACATTTCCAATCTTTTTACACTATGGCTTGGTATAACTTTCCTGTTTTATTTTTAAAAATCGCTACCATACTTTCTGATTTTGTTAAAAAAACCCTACTCTTTCTACTCTTTTTTCAGTTTTTTATACATTTTTAAATAATGCTATAATTTTAGTAATGTTACGTTACAATTTCCCTGCTTACATTTAAAGATAACCAAACTTATTCAAAATTAGTTTTTTCATTTTTTTCTCCTTCATACAATAAGATTATCTTGCTTACTTCACTATAAATATTCTCATTAGGCCATGAACGTATTCAGGATATAGTTCCCTTCTAATTCTTTTAATGTCTAAGGCTTTTCAAATGTTTGTTTGTGTATGTTTGTGTTCTTTTTTCTCTTTCACATTTACTCTATCTTTTTCTTTGAATGTAGTTTATATTATATATTTTTTTCATAAAATCTATTTAAAATTATATACTGTATTTTGAGTATTTTTATGCTATTTTAGTCTGCTAAGAACAAGGTGAGCATGTAATGAGCGATGTACCACAAAGTTGCAATGCAAACTTCTCCCCTTGTATCATGGCATCATAAAGCATGTTTCATCATATTAGTATTATGATTAGGGTTATGACTTCTATTATGGCATGTGGCAACATAAAGAAACAATTATACTGTGTGTTTATGTGTATAAATATAAAGGTATAAATAAAAATATAGGTGTCTGTGACCGTTTTCTAAGAAATATGAATAAAATGTAGCAAATTCTGCATTTGCTTCCATGCAACTACTGAGATATGCCTTTTCCTAAGATCACTGCTGTCAAACCTAGGAAAAGACAAATTTGCAGAATTACAGAGAGGTGCTATGTTATACCCTTACATTCCATAGTACTGCTGTCTATTAAATTAAGCTGCAGAACTTGTTGATTCAAACAAGACAACTGAATTTACAAGGAGAAGAAGAGTGCCCAACTAGAGTTATGACACCATGAAGTTTTTACTCCTAAATTCCTAAATTACTTATAGGAAGTAATTTGATAAGTGCAGAGCCATTATTTTCTCTGAAACTCTAGAGCAGGTTACAATTCGCTTCAGGAAAATATGGGTGATTTCCATGCTTCGTCGTTGTAATCTCAATCCAAAAGCATTAATACCTCTTTTTGAGTTTTGAGACCAAGAACAGACCCACAATCTTAATAATTATATCCCATTATTTGCAGCGATCCCAAAGAATATTATTACCAACTAATCACTTTTTATAGCTAATTTATTACATTTAGAAATGTAATATATAATTCAAATACTGGAAAGTCCAGTATTCACTAACTAAGCACTATTTTAGTTCTTAAGAAATATTACCTCTTCAGTTATAAACTTTGCTGCTTCTGATTCTATAAAAAGTCCATAGTTCAACAGAGAGAAGTTATCAGTTATTTAATTCCTGTTCACTGTGGGGAAAAGAGCATTGTGTTGCTTAAACAGGATTTTTTTTAAGAGCAATTCTCATTTCATTCTTTTTCATTCCCTTGTATATTTTAATATCTAACAGTTATACTTGAAACTTACCGTTTATTTGGATCTTTTATCAGGAGACCTGAAAGCAATGATTTTGCATCAGATGAGAGAGTTCGAGGAAATTTTATATCTTCCATTAGAATGAGTTCAAAAAGTTTTTCATGATCCTGGTTATAGAATGGCAATCTGCCGCACATCATTTCATACATGACAACTCCAAGGCCCCACCAATCCACTGCACGACCATAATCATTGTCTTCCAAAACCTAAAATAGTAATATCAAGGCATTAACTCTTAGACAAATATATTTACTGACAAACAGATTACTTTTGAAATAATTATCCTTTAAAAGAGAACATTATGATAGTTTTCTAAGGAACAGGAAACAAATGATAGTATTATATTTAGTCTTTGTTTAAACAAGGCAGCATCTTCATTTCGAGGTCATTACCCTTCTAGGTAAACACAGTTGTACATTATTTAAAAGCTAACTTTTGAGCATCTGCTTTAAAGGTATCAATTATGTGCCTTGAGCTCTGTTGTTTTATCTATTAAAATCAAGGATTCAATTCAACATAGTGGAGCACAGTCCTGGTTGTAAAGTATTTCATTTTTCCATCTTCCACTTTGGAAGCACTGATATGGTTGCAAAAGTTCTGGAGATACCACAGGGAGTACAATAGCTTCTACTTACTATGGCATTGTTATGACAAAAATTAATGCTCCAAGGCAGTGTTTTTCAACCTTGACAACTTTTCAGCTCTGTGTAGACTTCAACTCCCAGAATTCTTCAGCCAACATGTTGTCTGAGGGATTTTGGGAATTGGAGACCACACAGCGTAAGTTGCTAAGGTTGAAAAACACTGCTCTAAGAGTTAAACATTATATAAGGCATAGGTTTGGTTTAATGTTTGTCTTTCAATCAACAGTGGAAAGCAGCATATAGAGCATTCTTTTCTATTATTCATCAAAACAATTCTCTGAGGAAGCTTGGACAGAGGGAGTGATTGGCCAAAGCCATCCAGTGAACTTCCTTGGCCAAGGATAGACTACAACCAGGCTATCTTACAGCTTAACAACTACTCAACACTATTTTTTAATTATTATGGTTAGTTGTATAATCAGCCAGATGCTTAGACTGGATCTGGCATTTTTATCCACCTTTCGAATTCTTCCCAAGGATCTGGGATAAACAAATGTTATTTGTTAAAGGTATCATTACAGGATATAAACTGTACCAAGTAAAGTTGCATTCTGTAATTGAGTGATGGTAATTCTGTCAATGACAAAAGTCTTCAAGCAGTATGCCAGATTTTGGGGGATTGCACCCAAAGCACCTATTACTATTGATACTAACTTTGTTCTCTTTTGCCACTGCCGTTTTACTTCTATTTGCAGATCTTTGTATTTTCTGATTTTCTCCAATTCTTTTCTCTTGTATTATGCTGTCTTCGGGTACTGCAATATCCACTATCCAGACATTTTTTTTCTTTCTTATCAATGTTAACTCTTGAGTGTTATGTAGCAGGTGCTTATTATTATGGTTGGTTGCACTTTCAGGCAGATGTTTAGGCTGTATTTGGCCTTTTTGTCCATCTATTGAGTCCTTCCCAGACCCCTGAGATAGATAACTGTTGTTATTTAATAATATTAAACATATTTTTACAGAATGTAATCTGTATCAACTAAAATAGCTTTTTGCAATTGACTGGTGGGGATTTTATCAATGCTGATGGTGTTCAAGTGATGCTCCAGATATCTTGGCATTCTATTCAAGGTTAAATTTGTTTAATTTTGTTTGATACTACTTTTGTTTTCTTTTGCCAAAGTCATTCTACTTCTATTTGCAGGTCTTCGTGTTTTGTGATATTTTTTCTATATTCTATCTCTACTATTCTACTGTCGGCAGGTATTGCAATCTCCACTATCCAGACTTTTAAAAAATCTTTCTTATCAATAATTGTTAAGTCTGGGGTGTTATGTGGCAGATGCTTGTCTGTTTGAATTCTAAAATTCCGGAGCACGTTAGTTTCTTTGTTATCTATTAGTTTGTCTGTTTTGTGGTCCCACTAGTTCTTGCTTGCAGACAAGTGATATTTCTTGCAGATACTCCAATGCACTGTTATTGGTACTTTGTCATGCCATTGTTGTTGTTCTTGCTGTTATAATTAGGACTGCTGGAACAAAGAAAATATTCCTATATTTTTTCCAGTACCATATAATATGATACAATTATATACATCATTGTATAATAACACCCTTCATTGTTAAGGTACACCTGTAAATTTATTTAATGGCACTAAGATGAAACAGAGAAGTATTTCTTCATATATAGGGATTATGCCTATAAAACTTAATCAAATCCTACACCTATCTAAATAAATGGTGTACTAGCATGTATATCAATTACGTTTAGAAAGAGTTTATTTGTATAGAAATAAAAACTGTATTTTAGAGTTTTCTGCTTGTTTTAATAATCAATGCAATAAAGTACTATTTTGTAGTGTTGAAAAGAATGGACAGTAATGCAGAACCATTGCTGTGCATTAAATTATACTTGCCCAATAAGTATATTAACAGTATATAAACCATCTTTGGACTATTACATTTAATTGACACTAAACCGATTAAACAAAATTTAGTTGATCATATAAAAATGATTTAAACTATTTCAGTTTTATACATGAATAAAAATGTTAGCGTGGTGAAAAGCAAACTTTGTTATTGTTACATAATTCACATATCTGTTGTAACATACTTAGAATGGGGATCCCCTTTTGCACTAAAAGAAGGAAAAATATATCTGGTAAAATATGAAGTGTCTGAGGCTTTTTTTTTAAAAAAAAAAGTATACTTAATAAAACCTAACATTTACTTTGAGGGCACCACCAATAAAATATCTAATGAAACAGATCTTGAAACTTTTGAATAATTTAGACAAAATATGACACTTCAATTGAACCTTATCATACCAAGCTGGGATTTATCAGTTGTTATACTAAATAATATTTTCTATAAATTAGGATACTTCAATAAATTTCAAAGATTTAAAAACAACAGCTAACAAAAGTCATGGTTTCCAGTTATTAGATTATTTGATTGTCTTAACTTAAAACATGATTTTACTCATATAACTTCTTGAAATAGACAGAACTATTTGAAGTTTAAGTTTAAGAAAAAATCAACTACAGCATCATGTTTCTCTTTTCCAATTTATTCATCTTGATTTTTACTATGAATGTTATGTTTCATATCACTGAGTATAGTGAGCTTATTTTGGACAGTGTTAAGCCACAATTGAGAAACAGTTTGTTGTAATGATTAAGGCATCAGGCTAGAAACCAGGAAACAGTGAGTTGTAGACCTGCCTTAGGCACAAAGCCGGCTCAGTGACATTGGGCCAGTCACTTTCTCTCAGCCCCAGGAAGGAAACAGTGACAAACGTCTTCCAAAAAAACTGGCCAAGAAAACTGCAAGGACTTCTCCAGGCCATCTCTAAGAACCAGACATGATTCCAGAATAAACACACAAACTTGAGCTCAAGCATAATTTTACTTCTGATGGGAGAAACAAGTTCTGAACATTTTATTTCCACTGTAAACAATCTCAACACATACAATACAGTGGACATATGGATAAAAACGCACTGTTCTGAAATGTGACTGTATCCCAAGTCCCCAAATTGCAACTGACAACTGTTGGATTAACTTTGGGACATTACTAATAGCATTTAGTATACCATTTTAGGCTTATATACTGCTCCGTAGCACTTTATAACACTCTCTGGGAGGTTTACAATGTTGAAGCATTATTTGCATATTGCCCCCAACAATCTGGATCCTCATTTTACCAACCTGAAAGGATAGAAGGCTGAGTCAATCTTTTAGCCCCATCATGATCAAACTCCAGGCTGTGAGCAGAGTTTGACTGCAATCCTACATTTTTTCCCACTGCCCCATCAGGACTCTAATGAAACTGACCCATCAAAATATTCTTCGGGAGAAGGTATATGTTTCTTTCTATCTATCCATTCTTTTGTACTTTAATAAAACATTGTCAAAATACTTCATGTTATTAATTAGGGATGTCTTTTATTTTATCCGTATGTTTAAAAATAAATTTCTCTGATTGATCACTGACTACATTATACAGCCCTGATGGACTGTCTTTTCAATAGTTGTGCATTTTCAAATAAACTGGGATTGGAACATCAAAGACTACTATTTAAAAACAAAATCAAGGGAGGAGGTGAACTCCTTTCACTGGTTGTGCTCAAGTAGAGGCTGGCAGCCATCTGTCAGACATGTTTAATTTAGAGCCCTATACTGAGCAGGAGACTGGACTTGATGGCCTACATGGCCCTTTCTAATTATGCAAAAAAACTTTACATAATGGACAGAAGCTGTTTCAGAAATTTAATGAGATTACTAAGAGAACATGAATAGTTTTAGGCACATAGTTAAATATAAAACTGAGTAGCAATTTTAAAACTAGCTTTGAAGCATTATAAAAACTGTACTTCAGGAAAATAAATAAAAATTATTTACTTTCTGAGAGGCTCCCCCCCATCCAGCTAAATATTATTTTATGGAACAGTGATACAAAAATAAACTCCAAAGTTAATTGTTACTAAGTAATGAATTCTTACTTTCAAGAATGTTCGCATATAAGCCCATTCTTTTATATCAGGCTTTAATATAAACAAGATAGAATACTGACAGTGAAAGTCATTTAATCAAAATTACCATTATATGAAAACAATTACCAATCAATTGTTCTGTATATTCTTACTTGGCATTCAAACAATTTTTATTTTTATACTATTACAAAAGTACATTTTCTAGGATTCCAAAACCACCTTATTCAACCTTTCCCATCTGTCACCATCTGTTTCTTTTTAGCATGTACTTTTTGTGTGATCACATAAGCATGTGAAAAATAACTAATATTCATATGATTATGTCTTCATGCATTTGAGGACTGGACATAATGAAGCTGAAATGCCAAAAGTGTACTTAACACTTCAAGTGTTGTTGTATCTTTATGTGAGCAACATTTTATTTTGAATAATGCTACAGAAATGCAGTCACTGCAAGAAAACAGCACAATAGTTTACTATGCTTTCAGTGTAAATAAGGTTAATTTTTTTCATAGTGCTCAGAGAGTCCTCTAATAGGAAATAAATTCGATAATTGCCTAGCTCAGCAATGAAGATTCATTAGAAAATCCCAAATCCCAAAATTATTACTAATTTTGACATGCAAGAAAAAATAAAATAGTTCAACTGGGGAAACCTCTAGGGAAGAAATGGTGAACTGAAGATGATTTTGCTAAAAGTGCATCCAACAACTATTACAAATAGTTAATGGTGACAGACTGGGAGACATTAATAACAAAGAGAGAAATTTTTCAAGGAGACTCACTCTGCAAGAAAATTACATAGATTGACTATAAAGAACAGCATGGCAAAGTAGTAATAATAGAGTATTGGAATATCTGCAAGAAATACCACTTGCCTGCAAGCAAGAACTAGTGGGGCCCCAAAGAGACAAAGTAATAGAAACTGGAGAAGCTAAAAAGCTCTGGGACTTTAGAATTCAAACAGACAAGCATCTGCCACATAACACCACAGACTTCAAAATTGTTGATTAGACAGACAAAAAAGTCTGGATGGTGGAGATTGCAATACCTGTAGACAGCAGAATAGTAGAGAAAGAATTAAGAAAATCACAAAATACAAATAGAAGTAAAATGTCAAATAAGCAAGGTTATGGAGATACAACTGGAGAAACCGCATCCTCAAGATACCTAGTTTTCTGGTTTTGTTTACTGGCACCAAATGCCTTAGAGTGCAAGATATGCCCTGAACTGCTTACAGCAGTGTTTCCCAAACTTGACAATTTTAAGGCATGAGGACTTCAACTCCCAGAATTCCACAGCCAGCATTGCTGGCTGTGGAATTCTGGGAGCTGAAGTCCACATGCCTTAAAATTGTCAAGTTTGGGAAACACTGGCTTACAGAGGTAGATGATGAATTTGAAAAACCATAGCATCAATTCTTTTATACATTTTAACTTTTGGGGGGGGAGGAGCACTTAATCTGACTTTCGTCATGCATCCATAGTTATTTTAAGCAGTAGTAGCAAAGGCTGTAGTAAAGGCTGAAGTATCATTGTTGTTCAGGTTGGTACATGAATAATTTGAGTCATCTATTGATTTGGTTGCTGATATTAGTGTGCTTCAAGGCCAAGAGCAGCTACCATCTGGAGTAATTCTTCCATATATGGCCTGTTCTCCGTAGATGGAATATATAATTGATTAGGGATTGAGAAAGGTAAGAAAATATATCCAACGATGTAGTGCTGGATTCATAGCCTCAAGCATTAAATGGTTCAGAAGGCAGCTCTTGTAGGCTGAAAGTCTTCCAACTGTGAGCCACCCAGTTTCTCTTTCTTTTACCAGGCTTCACACCAAAGCACAAAAATAAATCGCTAATTTACAAACACTGAGATCTTAGCTCAACCTCTTGACTTGATTTGCCAAAAGGTTCACAAACATGACTAGAGCAGAATCTTTACTGCAGATAAGAATGAAACTTCACCCATATGGTTGACTGCCCACGGCTATACAAAGATATCATACATTTATATATATTCACAAAGGTTTAATGCATCTTTCTTCCATCCTCCTCAATTAATGGAAAATAGTAAGTCATTTTGGAACCTTGACAATTGTGGTAACTTTATTTAATGGCCATTGCTAGACAGGCAACTACTTATACCTGCCTTGTCAGCTTCAGGCATTAAAGCACCTCATTTGCTAAGTGTTTCAGTAAGTTACATAGCTGAAGGAGGATACCAAACAGATGGCAGCTACAGAGGGATTGGTACTAAGGAAGGCTCCATTGGCAAAACTGCACATTTTGGTATCAAGACAAAACAGAATCAATGAGAGAATAAACATGTCTTTTAATTATACTATGTTGATGCCACCATAGTATAATTTCTTTTCTTGTTATATTATGGATAACTTGTAAGACAAAATTGTTATATAAACAGTTCCAGCTTATAATTGAAGGTGGGCAGAAATGAGATGGGCAGTGACCAAAACGCAGGTTCTCATGAACCAAGGATATATTCTGGCCCCAAAATGGGAAGAGTCAATAGTCTGTGTTATGGTAGTGGTAGTCCGAAGACCAGGATGGCTATCATTAAAATCAGGAATCCAGTGTACCTCTTAAGCTTCCACTAGGAAGAAAAGCGGAATATGCTATGCATCAGTCCAAAGGAGTTTTACAATGACAATCCCATCATTTACAAAAGGGATGAGATTAAGTATTTATAATTCCATGGACTAGAGGGGTTGCCTCCCTAATTTCCACTTTGGATACCACTTCTAGAAGAACAGAACAGTTTCAAAATGAAGGAAGCAGCAATATAGCTCCCAAAATTCTAACAGGCACTATTAGACCGGGATATGGCCTATCAGATAGCTTATTTTGTTCATTCTATTTTTTTCCATCATGTTTCAGAACATGCTGCTTATTTAATCATCTCATAGTCTTGGTCTTTTTAGAGTTCTGGGGAGGGATCTGTACTCCCCAGAGTGTCCAGAAGCCAATATGCATCTTAAGTTAAGGTCATTAGCAGGTATCATTAAGAAGCTGGCATTAAAACAAGATCAAGAGCTGGGCTACAGAAAGAGGAAGTCTATAACAAATGATACTGAAGTTAGAATGCAACCCCAAGATACAGGTAGATACCTGGAATGCCTTGTCCTATCACAGCCCTCTAAAAGATGATGTTCTGTTCTATCATACTACCTGCTTCATAAATGTTGAAGTGTCTTTTTCTCAAATACAAAGAGTAGGTGGAACATTACTATCACACCCGACATATTTACAAAATGGAATTCTATAGGTCACTGGTTCAAAAGTATCATTTGTATCATTTTTAAAAATGGGGACTAATAATCCAAAACATCATGGAGAACTGCATGAAGTAATTTGGGGAAGTTTAAAGCTATGGAAATCTAATAACAGAATAAGTGTTTCAAAAAGATGGATAATGTTCCCTAGGCTGCTGATAATTCTGCAGGTAAAACAAAACTAAGAAAGAGTACAGATATAAGGAAAGAAGCTGCTAAGGCTAGAATGAGCTTGAAATCAGACAAAAGTGTTATTAAAACACAACAGAGGTCTCCTCCACATCTTAGGTCAAGAAAAAAATAACTATAAATGCATTACCACATAAGGAAAAAAGACACATAAAATTTAAATCCTGGAACTATTAAATAGTAGAAAGCTTAATTATACTGAAGCAACTGATTTTCAATAAAAAGGCTTCTTTTTTCTTCAGTAAAACAACTTATCTATGAGAAACTTGAGTTTGACTCTCTTCCGCTAGCTCCTAAGAGCAGGTTTTATTTTCTAGAGTGAGATTTATTGCCAAACTCTCAATGAAGCTCTGCCAACAGGAACCTCGTTGCCCATCTGTCTTACTAAGTGGTTCCCCATAAAAATCCTCATCTGCAGAAGAATTCACAAAGAATAATGGATATTCATGTACCCATCCAGAGTAGGTCACAGGTTTCCTGGTTCAATCACAAGACACAGACAAAGATCATAATAAAAATCTTGCTTTCAAAATTATTTTGATTTTAAGAGACAAATATACTCTAAAGATGACCTTTAAATAAACATTAATGAAAACTTGGCAAAAATATTTTTTTCTGTTATCTTAGGTGACAAATTGTTCAGATTAAGCTACAACTCTTTTCATGCAGTTATATCAGCAACATTCCTTGAATTTCCTCCAAACTTCACTTGAAAATAAAATTCTCATCTCCTTATTTTCTTTCATCTAATTTAAGAAATTTTGTGAACTAACTTAACATTTAGTTTTCTCTGTGTGAAAAGATAAATGCTTTACAAGAGAAAGGAAAAAAGAGAAGATTCCTTTGAGAGAAAAGGGGAAAGGAGGGACGGGGAAGGTTGAAGAGGGAGAAAGGGAGAAAGAGAGGGGGGGGAAGAGAGAATTTATAATTTATATGGCAGACAGATTCCACTATAGAAATTATAAATTAAAAACTATAATAAATACAGTACTCTTTGTAATAGTATCTGCAAGTATTAAAATATAAAGATTACCATTCCAAAGCATTTTGTGATTAAAGAAAATGTAAAAGTTTAAAATATAAAGTGCTGACATACCTCTGGAGCCAAATATTCTGGAGTACCACAAAATGTTTTCATAGTAGCTGCATCTGTGATTCCTTCTTTGCAAAGTCCAAAATCTGTAATTTTTATGTGTCCATCTTTATCCAGCATTAGATTTTCTAACTGTATTTTACAAAGACACATAAAAAACACTCAATTAAAGACAAAAAAAAAAACCACCTGCCATGTAATAATTCTGTTACAATTTTGCTATAAGTAAAAGTAATGGATAATGACAAATCTGATATTTTAATGTTCTTTTTCCTTTAAAACTAGCTTAAAGGTCACTTGAACTGATTGAAATTACAGATTTATTTTGTATCTTTACTCCTTTAACCCAGTGTGCTGTTTCCATTTTAATATATTCTCTTGTTTACTCTTTCTGAAGAACCAATAATGGCTTTTTCTATTCTAATATTATTCTAATTCTAATTATAGAATAATATTATTCTAAGAAAAACAGAATACCAGCATATCTAATAATTAAGTTTCTTTATATCTAGTTTCATATTTACTTACTTCATTTATATAACTGCTATTTATATTTTTATAGCATGATTACCAGGACTTGGCAAATCCTACAAAAGAGGTGCTGGTGAACATAAGGGTGTTACATCCGATCATTTAAAAAGTGGCTCATATGTATCTTGATATGCATATCCATGCACCTTGCTTCACTGTTAAACACACAACCATTTAACCTTAGAGAGAACTGCAGCACTACTCTATGTAGTAGTACAGTGTTTCCCAAACTTGACAATTTTAAGGCATGAGGACTTCAACTCCCAGAATTCCACAGCCAGCGACGCTGGCTGTGGAATTCTGGGAGTTGAAGTCCACATGCCTTAAAATTGTCAAGTTTGGGAAACACTGTAGTAGTATTCTATGTTCTTAAATATGAAAGAGCAACCACCCGAATTGTATAAAACAGTTCATACATTGTACAGAAAAAGTGAAATGATAATGTAATTAGCTTCTTGTTTTAATGAGCCAAATTCTATACTGTGGGCAATTGGAATTCTAAAGCTGCCAGGAAAGAGAACTCAGTTTAATGTATTCATATACTGTGGCCAAAGTTCATTATTCTGTAATTATGTAGAAACTAAAGCTGTTTGCAGCAAGTCATGAAGACTGAAAAATTCTATCACATATGTGGTATATCATGATGCAAACACTATTATATACTTATGATTAGTGATTTCTGATACAATTACATAAATCATGGGATTCGAATCAAAATGCTGTAACTCATATTTTAGCAATTGCTCCCCTTGCTAAACCATCAATGGAAGTTTCTTCATCATATCAATCACTAATCAAGGTGACTGATTGCTAATCAAGGAGAGAAGCAACCTAGAACTAAGGAGAAACTTCTTGAAGGTTAGAACAATTAATCAGTGGAACAACTTGCTTCCAAAAGTTGTGAATGCTCCAACACTGGAAGTTGTTAAGAAGAGATTGGACAACCATTTATCTGAAATGATATAGGACAGGGTGCCTGAGCATGATGTTCGACTAAAAGACCTCCAAGGTCCCTTCCAACTCTATTATTCTGTTCTGTTCAGTATGGTAATAATAATCTTAGCTGCATGAAGAACATGATATACTACACTGACATTAGAAGCACTGTTTTTTTCATTAATATACTTGTACAGTAGTCAAGTATTAAAATAAAGATTTTTGTCCCTTTTTTCTTTCATTTGAATTATTATAAATCTTGGTACACTACATCATTTCAATTTCAATACATTAATATTTATATAATTAAAGATTGTTGACATTCTAATGTCATGGTGGCGCAATCATTAGAATGCAATATTGCAGACTGACTCTGCCCACTGCCAGTATCTTGACTGGTTCAAGGTTGACTCAGACTTCCATCTTTCCGAGGCTGGTAAAATGAGGACCTAGATTGTTGGGGGGGGGGGGGAATTTGCTGACTCTGTAAACCATTTAGAGAGTGCTGTAAAGCAATATATAAGTATTATTGCTAGTGCTAGTGCTACTTACATAGCTTGGAGTATTGAAAATAGTATATATTAAATGACACTTTCCTAGTTATCACAACCATATTTAAAATACACTTTAGAAGTCTGATCCCTACTCCTCTTTTTCAAATCTTTAACCACTAAAGCTTTGAATACACAAAGACCGAACATACAAAGAGACTTGATCACTGATCAAAATGCTGTCTGAATATAATTTTGTTAAGAAATTAGTACCAAATTCCAATCTGGTTTCAAGTGACCGAAGTTCAGTAATGCCAATATTTAAGCTTATTAAAATTCATCAAGTAAAACCATTACAAGCATCTGAAGAATGGATGTGTATCCACATCATTTAAAATAAAAAAAATCTATTCAATACCAAACAAAATTCATATATCAAACACAAAATACTTTCTCAAAAGCCTTGAAAAACTAAGGAAAGAATAGGTATGAACTAGTTTTTTATGCTTGTCAATGGACTGTATCTTATAGAAAGGTGTTGAAAGCATTAATCACAGTGACAATCTTCCACAATAGAAAGAACTCCCGGTTGGTTGGTTGGCTGGTTATGTATTTATTTAAACCATTTACAGATAGTCCTTGTACAACCACAACTGGGACCAGAATTTCTATCACTAAGTGAAGCAGTCAGTAACTGAATCATTAGATCAATGATCTGATTTAACACAGCTATTAAATGAATCACAGTGGTCATTAAGTGAATCATATGGTTGTTAAATTAATCCAGCTTCCCTAATTGAATTTGCTTGTCTGAAGTTGGTTAGGGAGGTCATAAATTGTGATAACATGATTGCATGATACTGCAACTGTTGTAAATGTGACCCAGTTGCCAAGCACCTGAATTGCCATTATGTGACCACAGGGAAAGTGAAATGATCATATTTTTCAGGATAGGTTATACATTCATTTTTTTCCCAAGGCTTTTGTAACTTCAAACCATTGTTAAAAGAACAATTGTAAGTCAAGAATTACCTGCATATAGTTATCCATCCATGGTTCTGGGCAATGCACAAAAGCTACAAACTATACTATTTCACTGCAGTTATATACAGTGGGGCAAAAAAGTATTTAATCAGCCACCAATTGTGCAAGTTCTCCCACTTAAAAAGATGAGAGAGGCCTGTAATTGTCATGATAGGTAGACCTCAACTATGAGAGACAAAATGAGAAAACAAATCCAGACAATCATATTGTCTGATTTAGAAAGAATTTATTTGCAAATTATGGTGGAAAATAAGTATGTGGTCACCTACAAACAAGCAAGATTTCTGGCTCTCACAGATCTGTAACTTCTTCTTTAAGAGGCTCCTCTGTCCTCCACTCATTACCTGTATTAATGGCACCTGTTTGAACTTGTTATCAGTATAAAAGACACCTGTCCACAACCTCAAACAGTCACACTCCAAACTCCACTATGGTGAAGACCAAAGAGCTGTCGAAGGACACCAGAAACAAAATTGTAGACCTGCACCAGGCTGGGAAGACTGAATCTGCAATAGACAAGCAGCTTGGTGTGAAGAAATCAACTGTGGGAACAATAATTAGAAAATGGAAGACATACAAGACCACTGATAATCTCCCTCGATCTGGGGCTCCACACAAGATCTCACCCCGTAGGGTCAACATGATCACAAGAACGGTGAGCAAAAATCCCAGAACCACACGGGGGAACCTAGTGAATAACCCGCAGAGAGCTGGGACCAACGTAACAAAGGCAACCATCAGTAACACACTACGCCGCCAGGGACTCAGATCCTGCAGTGCCAGACGTGTCCCCCTGCTTAAGCCAGTACATGTCTAGGCCCATCTGAAGTTTGCTAGAGAGCATTTGGATGATCCAGAAGAGGATTGGGAGAATGTCATATGGTCAGATGAAACCAAAGTAGAACTGTTTGGTAGAAACACAACTCGTCGTGTTTGGAGGAGAGAGAGTGCTAGTTGCATCCAAAGAACACCATACCTACTGTGAAGCATGAGGGTGGCAACATCATGCTTTGGGGCTGTTTCTCTGCAAAGGGACCAGGACAACTGATCCATGTACAGGAAAGAATGAATGGGGCCATGTATCGTGAGATTTTGAGTGCAAACCTCCTTCCATCAGCAAGGGCATTGAAGATGAAACGTGGCTGGGTCTTTCAGCATGACAATGATCCCAAACACACTGCCCGGGCAACAAAGGAGTGGCTTCGTAAGAAGCATTTCAAGGTCCTGGAGTGGCCTAGCCAGTCTCCAGATCTGGAGTTGAAAGTCCGTGTTGCCCAGCAACAGCCCCAAAACATCACTGCTCTAGAGGAGATCTGCATGGAGGAATGGGCCAACATACCAGCAACAGTGTGTGCCAACCTTGTGAAGACTTACAGAAAACGTTTGACCTCTGTCATTGCCAACAAAGGATATATAACAAAATATTGAGATGAACTTTTGATATTGATCACATACTTATTTTCCACCATAATTTGCAAATAAATTCTTTCCAAATCAGACAATGTGATTGTCTGGATTTGTTTTCTCATTTTGTCTCTCATAGTTGAGGTCTACCTATGATGACAATTACAGGCCTCTCTCATCTTTTTAAGTGGGAGAACTTGCACAACTGGTAGCTGACTAAATACTTTTTTGCCCCACTGTATTCACAAATGTTGTCTATAACATTTCTTTACTTTCTATGTAAAACCAGTATCAGAAATGAAAGTTCTAATTTCTGGTATATGTAATCTGTTTTAAATATCTCCTAAATACTTAATTTTCTAAGTAGTAAGAATTCCTCCACTGTAGTTAGTAGAGCAGTCTAGAAAAAAATAATATGCTGTTTCTGAGGATCTAGCTTCAACCCTTTTATATATATTTCTTTTCAGGCCCCCAATTAAAAATGACTACAAACCCCCCTATATAGTATTTTATATCATAAAAAAAAGTTTGACTTTGACTACAGTCAGTTCTAAACTACTACAAAAATATTGAGAGTTATCCTAATCAGAAATGGAAAAACACAAGATAGATTGTGACAAGTTGAAAAATGGGGGGGGAGAGGAAGAGAAAAAATCAATTGCTTTGGATCCAGTCACTTCTCCAGGTAACAATTCAATTCTTTCACCAGAACGTGCTATCCTCCTTCTATATAAAACAACATAGAAGCTCCTTTGGCAATGACATACAGTATGATCACAACTCCCATGCATTGGGTAAAGAGTTGAGGGATTTTGATAACCCAAAATGCAAAGTTTTAAAACAGAGTAACACTTCCTGAGCTACTCTGCTCAGACTGAACTGCACAAAAATGTCCTGTAAGTTATTAATTAGTTAAGTGTGTGTGTGTGCGCGCACACACACACACACACACTAATACTGTATGTGACAGAATACCAAAAGAAAGCAAATATTCAAAAGTTTGGGATATCATGAAACTGTTACTATTATCTATACTTTTATTTTACATGCTTTTCTTCTGTGGACCTGGCCCCCAAATGACATCTCAGTATAACTTAAATTTAAAAAATCATCCAAAAAGGAAAGAGACCACAGTAATGTGAGCATAGTATCTCATAAGGCACCAACTTGGGAAATTCAGTGAAAGCTGGAACAAAACAGCAGCTTGCAACAATAGACTGAGGTTTTAGGTATACCAGAAGGATGCACGGAAAGCAGAAATTATGCAGTTCCCTAAATATGAGCCATCACTACCTGAACATTTGGTGGCTGCAATACAGTTGCCATCAGTACTTGATGGCAACCAAGTGAGAACAACCAAAGTGAGAACATCTGCCAAAGAAGTATAGCAGTTTACTAAGTGAGGGAAAGCTCCCACATTTTGTATCGTAGGAACTTAGGTAATCTCTGACTTATGATGGCACTTGTCACTGGGATTTCTGTCGCTAAGCGATACAATCATAAAGTACAATCCCATCACTTAGTGACGGCAATTCCTGCTGTTCTAGTTTCCATCATTAACTGAATCCCAGAGTCATTAGGTGAAGCAACTGTGCTGACTTCCCGCGACCAAAGTCATTGGGAAAGCCAGCAGGAACTTGCAAGTCCCAGGCTTGCAGGCAGGCAAGTGGGTGAGGTAGGGAACAAGAAGGTCAGGGGGTTACGTCAGTTGGGGAGGCTTGCAACAGAATTCATGAGGCATTACAAGGGGTCCTAGATGCTCGCAGTAGGGTTTGCTCTCAGTTTATATTATGGCATGCTGTCATAGGCCTACTATAATATAAACTGAGAGTAAACCTCATTTCTTTCTAGCACTGATTAGGTTACCTAGTTTGGGTAATGAAACGTCTGTAAGAAAACAACCAAGCTCAGAGAGCACCAATGACCCCTCATTTCAACTCTGAGCTACATATATTCTCCTTTATTGGCATGAGGAACAGCATGAGTTGGGGAGGGTGTGTAAGAGTATAAGGTATGAAGATGCCATGCAGGTCAGGGAGGGTACACAAAGTGCAAGGGGGTACAAAAGAGGTAAGGTGTGGTGATGGTGCAGAGGGGATCATAAGAGGCATAGTGCAGGTCGGGGAGGGTACATAGGAGATGCTACAGGGATCAGACATGATGTGCGAGATGTGTCGTGGGTCGGGCGCATGGGTGTACTCAAGTGGCTGGCATGTGCAAGCACATAGGAGCTGGAGAAAGATATACAGATGGGGAAGACTTAGCCCAGGGAATTGCAATCTTCTCTGCCTGCTTCCTTATAACTTTTTGGGGAAGACAGTAGGGAAGTTTGCAAATGGTTATCATGATCACAGGACATTTGGCAACCACTCATAAGTGCAAACAGGTTGCTAAGTATCCAGATTGCAATCAAGTAACCAAGGGGTACTAAAATGGCTGGAATTTGGAGGACCAGCGGTAACCATTCAATCAGCATCATTAAAACATGGAATGGTCACTAACCGAACGCTTATAGGTCAAAACCTAGTAACAGTAGGTATTACAAGTAACAGGATTGCAAACATGGTTAGGTTCTGGGCTGTTGAGGATAAATATACAACTGGAAAGAACATCTGCAAACAGTAAATCCATCTTATGTAATTATTCTCTTTAATGATTCATATCTAGTCTATTTTCCTGTCGAAAAAGCCCTTCATAGCTCTTACTTTAATCAAATATGCCAATTATTTTGAATTATTTAGGTACTGACATGCTTCTCAAAATATGAAACCACAGTGGGGAAATATGAAACATCGTATTAAAAATATGAACTTCTAACCAAACATCAACACTTACGTTTGATTTACCCAAGTTTAAAGTAAAAACAAAAGAATCCTCAATGTGTCAAAGCCAGTTCCAACGAGGGAAAATAACTCTTCCAATCATGGCGAACTAACTGAATATTCAAAATGAACCTAGGCAAAAGGGCTCCTCTGTATTTACTGAGATAGATTAGCACTGAACATTCTATTAGAACATTTAAAAACTAAAGTCCCTTTTTCATTTATGGAGTTTAATTATAACTGTAGTATTTATATGTGATTTCATGTGTTTGATGAAAAGAAGCAACAGAATTAGCGCATTCCTTTATTCATATCACTAAACTGAATCTTTCTTATGAATTATTTAAACAAATGCCAAATTATACAATTCACAATATAAAATTGAATAATAAGCATTTTGATGAACTTCAATCTAGACCACAATTTTCTAGTTACTTTTCTCAAAATAGCATAACTTTCATAATTACTTAGTTTCTCCCAATAGTCTCTTCAAAAACAACATTTTGATTACTTTTTTTTACCTTGAGATCACGATATACAATCTTTCCAGAATGCAGATAGTCCAAAGCAGACACAATTTCTGCACCATAGAAGCGTGTGCGATCCTCAGAGAACACCCGCTCTCTCGACAAATGGAAAAACAGCTGCAGGGTAAACAGCAGGGACAGGATTGCAATAATTACTGATTTAGTGGGGGAAATTAACACAAACATAAAACACCTCTCATCACCATATTGTGATGATAGATAGTATACTCTCAGTGGACATTCAGCACTCTTAGATAGCAGCTGGTTTATCTTTTCCAGGTTTCCAAGGGGAAAAAGCGAGCTGTTAAATCAGCATTTTAATCAATATACCAATCTTGTTTAAGGCATTTTCCTTGCTACCCATTTAACCTTCAGTTACCAGAGGAAAAATGTGCATCATCATCATTCTGTACTTTTTTCTTCCAGCTCCCCTTTCTCCTTGCTTTTTTTTTTAATTTGTAGCAAAGAAACTAATGTAGATATTTTGTAGTTGGACATTACTAGGAATTCTACCAATTACTCTACCAAAACCTTTATATTAAACAAAATAATGGGTATGGTTAAAAAAAATGTATTTGCAAATCCAACCCCTATCAGATCAGAAATTTCAGTTAAAAAAATCAAAGAAGATAACTATTCTAGTCTCTGCTTAAATATATCCAGTGAAAGGAAACCCACTTTTCTGAGTAACTTGCTCCACCATAAAGCTTCGTTTCATATAAGGATTCCCACCCACTCACCCCAAATTTCATTCAGAATATGCAGCTCTATCTAAATCTATTATTCTTTTTCTGTGCTTAGAATAAGAGAGAACATAACTTGAATTACTTATGTGTGGGTTTTTTTCAGGAATTTAAACAGTGTTCAGTTTTTCAACATTAAACATATTCAGCATTTTTTTTAATTAAGGGTAAGTTTCTTCGTCTTGTTTCCCTTCCCTGAACTTATGCCAGTGTCTCTGAATATTTCTTAAAGTATGATGCACAATACAGGTAGTCCTCAACTTATAAGCACAATTGGGACTAGAATTTCTATTGCTAAGAAAGGTAGTTGTAAAATGAGTATTGCCCAATTTTACAACCTTTTTGTCATGGTTGTTAAGCAAATCACTGCAGCTGTTAAGCAAATCATGTAGTCATTAAGCCAATGCAGCTTCCCCAATTAATTTTGCTTGTCAGAAGCTAGCTGGGAAAGTCACCAATCATGACCACATTAGCCCAGGATGCTGCAAATGCTGTAAATACATGCTAGTTGCCTAGCACTTAAATTTTGATCACAGAACTATGATGATGCTGAGACAGTTGTAAGTGTGAGGATTGGTTGTAAATCACATTTTCAGTGCAGTTGGAACTTAGAATGGTTGCTAAACAAATGGTTGTATGCTGAGAACTACATGTACTGTCATAGTACTCAAACTGAGGATCTGAGTAATACAGGATAAAGTGAAACTATTACTTTATGCAACCTAATATTGTATTTGCCTTTCTCACAGTAACACAATTCTTAATTACATTCAGTTGGCAATTATTAATTCATCATAATTTTTATAAATACTACTAGTCTGTGGTGCTCACTTCAATGCCAATACATTTGATTTGTTACCTAAGAGAAGAGCTTTGCATTTGTCTCTTAAATTTCATCTCTTGTTTTCAACCATTCCTCTGTCTTATCAGGATCAATTTAAATTGTACTTCTGTCTTATAGAATATTTGCTGTGTTGTGTCATTTGCAAATCTGTTAAGTTTACTCTCCACTTTATCAAGTTACTTAACACCAAAGTATATAGCTTGAATCTCTTAGCAAATCAAATCAAATGTTTATTATTACAGCCATGGACCAACACAAAAAATTAAACATTCAAATAAAACAAAACTAAACAAAACAGAACCAAACTGAACACTTTTGGCTAAGATCAAGTGTAGTATGAATCACTTAGCATACACTTTTCTTCAACTGGATTAAGAATTACCAATGAGCACTTTTTCAGTACAATTTTTGAGGTAGATATATCTGTTCAGTTGTCATGCATGCTACCTACACTTGCAGACTAGTTTATAATCAGAATATCCTGGAATACTTTGTTAAATGTTTTGCTAAAAATAAAATTATTCATTAATCATTTTAAAAAATGATATAGTACAAAGTTAATAAAATGTATTCCTAACAAATAGACAATGACTCTTAGTAGTAATCATATTGCTTTCAGATATTTGCAGATTAATTTATTTATGAGTCACCACGAATCTTCTTAAGTACTGACATCAGATTGACTATTTTGCAGTCACCTCATTCTGCTTTCTAAAGAATTTTTTTTCTTTCACTTTTTTCTTCTATTTGATCATGCCTGATTCTCTAAAAGTAGTCTCCTAGAACTGAGTCAAATTGACTGGCCCAAGGACACCAGTTGGCTTTGTGCTGGAACTCATGATTTCCCAGTTCCTAGCCTAATGCTTTAACCATTACATGAAACTGGTACTCTTTTTTAAAAGATAGAAACTGCTGATAGAAACCAAACAATATTTGGTGACTTCCAGTCCTATGGTATTTCACAAGTTCTCTATGATTTCTAAAAGATAATGAATATTCATCAGTACCATCAGATAATGGTAATTCAAGTAATTCAGCTTCAACAAAGATGAACACAACTAGATACAAAGTTAATACAGTTCAGAAAATTAAGCCAATAACAATAGTTAGAATCACAGAATAAACTTGGAAAGGATCTCAGATATCACTTAATCCATTCCCCTGCTCAGTGCAGACCAGTCTAACAAAGCATCTCTAAATAGATGACCATCTAGCCTCTGAAGACCTCCAGAAAAAACGAACCACATTTGGCAGCCTGATTGAAAGCTCATACAGGTAGTCCTCGGGTTATGACCATTCATTCTGCAACCATTCAAAATTACAACAGCGCTCAACAAATGGTAGTTACAACCAGTCCTCAGAGTAATGGCCATTGCAGCATGTGGTCACATGGTCAAAAATTTGGGTCCTTTGCAGTCCTCCCACATTTACAACCGCATGCGCTTCAACTTCCCCATCCACCTATCTTCCTCCCATCTGTACCCTTTTGACCACCCTACTCTCTGCTGCTCTGCATTCTGCCCTGTATCCCACCACCCCTTACTGCCCCCAGCTGACCTTCACCATCTTCTTCCTTCTGCTGATGAGGTGCACCTGGCCGAGGCAGCTGCTGGCCTTTCGCGAGACCTCCACGACACTTCTGCGAGGAGGAAGAAGATGGCGAAGGTCAGCTGGGGGTGGTGGGGTAGGTGACAGCAGCAGAGTGCAGGGCAACCAAAGGGCAGAGATAGGGAGAGGTAGGTGGGAAGGAGTTGAAGTGGAGGCAAGCATGGTAGAGCGGTGGAGCCTCGTCTGCTGAAAGGAGCTCACAGAATCCAGGTGGTGGGGAACAGCACGACAAAGATGGCAGTTCATGCAGGGCACAAAAAAGGTGAGGTCTTCACTTAATGATAGAATGGTCCTTGCCTAACAACCACAATCAAGACTACCATTACACTAGTGGTGTAGTCACATGATGCTCCACCTAATGACCACTGCACTTACCAATAGAAATTCCAGTCCCAGTTAGGATCATTAAATAAGGACTCTAGAGGTTCCCACTGATGAACAGCCACAGCCTGCGTCCTGGTAACCTATTGGTCTGGCTTTGTAGCACTAGAAATTATCCACACCTTATGCTACATAACTTTTAACGTATCTGAACACTGATATCGTATTTAGTTTATGCTGTCATTTCTACAGGCTAAAGTTAACCCATATCCTTTACCATTCCCCATAGGTTTTGCTTTCCAGGTATTTTACCATTTTGATAGCCTTTCTCTAACTCAAATTTTTCACTGTCCCTTTTAGAACTATAATGTACAGATCTGCACATGGTATTCCAAATGTGGTTTGAATAGAGCAGATTAGACCAGAACACTTAATTCCTATGACATGGATTCTATACTCTAGTTAATGCATCTCAGGATGGCATTTACTTTTTATGTATTTTATCACACTTCTGACTGACATGGGCGCCCAGATTCTTTTCACATGTACTATTATTCCAAGCCAGTTCACCTTATCTTATATTGACATCTTATATTTTTCCTACTCAGATGAAGAACTTTACATTTCTCCCTGCTAAATTTTATTCTGGTCACTTCAGCCAGTGCTCAAGCCTGTCTAGATCTTTCTGAATTTTTTATCTTATATTAGCCCTACCTCTCAGTTTCGTCCTAACTGCAAACTCTGTTAAGTGTCCCCCAAACTCGCACATCCAAGTCATTTATAAAACTATTGAATAGCATAGGATCCAAGACAGAGCTCTATAGCACTTCAATCAAAAGTTCTTTCAAGATGAAAGTGGTCATTAGTGAGCACTCTCTTTGTTTGATGATTCAGTCAACAGTGAGTCCTTCTCTGTTAGACCTTCTAATATCTGATCGAAACATATTGCTCTATTTCTGGAATGCACAAATTCTATATTTCAAGAGGAGCGAAGTAAGAGTTAAGAAATTCTGCTTTCTCATAATAATCCATTACCATTTTAATATTTTTATTTTTAATATTTTTCCTCACAATGGCACACGTACTTTTTGATTTTCTCTTTCTTTCTAATGTACACAGAAAATCTTTATTTGATGTTTTCAGTACGTCTTGCAAGCCTGAGGTCATTCATACTGGCATCTTTAGATTTCTGTTATTTTCCCTTCCTGTAGGAACTATTTGCTCCTTTGGGATGTTACCCATTCTTTCTGGGAAATTTTATTCTTAAATATTTGAAGCCACTTTATCTAACCTAACTGAATTCCAGCAGAATTCATTAAGATCCACTTTCTTAAATTACCAAAGATGTAACAATATAATTCCATTGCATTAATGATAATTCATTCATTCATAAACTTTGTTAATTAAATATTTAAGAAATGTAATGCTATATGATATAAATCTGAGCAACTTTGTTCATACGCATTGGGAATTCAATAGCAATGTTATTCCAACAATTCCTAAAAATGGGATTTCTCTACAAGTTTTGTTTTTTTGCATATTAAATTCAATTTGTATTATCATCAGAATTTAACTTTCTCTCCTAAAGTACTCTAGAATAAAAAGTTAATTCAGAACTTGCATATCCTCACTAAAATATTTCTAATACAAGACTTAAATTAAACAGAATTACAGAAGAAATGCTGACTATGAATAAGGATCATGGTATACACACAGAGGGGGGGGGACGCGAGAGAAAGAGAACTTTTGTTCAGATGAAGAATATCACTCTCTTATTTCTTCAATTGCATTTTTTTTCATAAGCAAAATGTTTTAATAGAGAACTCTATGGCAAAACATAGAAGTAAACTATCCAATAAAACTAAAGTTTAAAAAAAGAATAAAACAAGTGAAATTCTAATACTTTCAATGGTAGTCTTCAGTAAATTAATATTCTGAGACTTAATAAAAGAGAAAATGTACATTTTTATATTTGATAAGTAAACACAGGGCAGAAGATTCCTTTTTAAAAAATCCAAACTTCCCTGCCCATATAATTAGGTCCTCTTAAACTTGCTGTTCATTTTGCTCACAAGGCTGACTAAGAAGTTCAATATTTTTACTTATTTTATATTTATTTAGCAAATTTATTTATTCAGCAAACTGAGAAATGCATGTGAGTAGGAAGGACAAGAGTTGGTAAAAGGAAATGTTAGAGAGATTTCAGTGATACCAAAGGACTATATTGGTAAACTTAATAGTTAAGACAGAAATCAAAGCAGCAATAATACTACTTGCTTTGCATCTTACCTCTCCTCCATTGACATATTCCATCACAAAACATAGACGATCCTTGGTCTGGAATGAATATTTCAAAGACTTAAAAGGGAAAAAAATGCAGTTATTAAAGTAGCCTCTCTTCCAGCTATAAAGACAAAGGCAATATACAGTATAATCATTTCCATTCAATTCATATATACCTCAGTCCTATAACTATATAATCAGAAGTAATATGGGGGTCAGTGGAATTTAACAATAGGAAAGTTCAGAACTGAAGAAGCTTCTTGGATGAGAAGTGAAACGTTTTCAAGGGAAAAAAACCAAGAAAGTCCAGTTGCATTTTGAAAATACTTTGGGAAAAGGAAATTTCTTTAAAGTGTCTAATAATTATTTATTCCACTAGCTCAATGTATTTTGAACTTTAGCATTTATCAAAAATTCAAATTCCATTTCTATTTTCAAAAATAGATAATTTCTTTCTTCATTTTAATTTGAGAATTACACCTATTTCCCTTTCATCTTTTGTGTCCACTATTATTTTCCTGAAGGTAGCAATTTTCAAGTGTCTATGAAATCAGTATTATAACACATTTGCATTATATTGTGTTTTAACAGATATTAACAGAATAACAGAGTTGGAAGGAAACTTTGAGATCTTCTAGACCAACTCTCTGTTCAAGCAGAAAACCCTATACCATTTTGGACAAGTGATTGTGTAATCTCTTCTTAAAAATCTCCAGTGATGGAGCATCTACAGATTCTGAAAGCAAGCTGTTCCACTAATTAACTGTTCTGACAGGAAATTTTTCCTTATTTCTTGATTAGTCCTGTCATTGATTAGTTTCCATCCATTGCTTTTTAATCTGCCTTTATTGTTCTGGAGAATAGGTTGACCTTTTTTTTTGTGGAAATTCCTTAGATATTAAAACACCGCTATCATATCACCCTTAATCCTTCTTTTCATTAAATTAGACATAACCAATTCCTGCAACCATTCTTCATACATTTTAGCCTCCAGTCCCCTAATCATCTTTGTTGCTCTTCTCTGCACCCTTTCTAGACTTTCAACATCTTTTTTATATTGTGGTGACCAAAATTGGATGCAATATTCCAAGTGTGACCTTACCAAGGCATCATAAGGTGGTATTAACACTTCACATAATCTTGATTCTATCTCTGTTAACATAGCCTAGGACTGTGTTAGCTTTTTGGCAGTTGCAGTACACTGCTGGCTCATATTTAAGTGATTATTAAGGACTCCAAGACCCCTTTCATAGTTACTACTGTTGAGCCAGGTACCACTTATTCTATACCTGTGCATTTCGTATTTCTTGCTAAATGTAGAACCTTACTTTTCTCATTACTGAATTTTATTTTTTTAGATAGGATACTGCAAGCTATTTTACTTCTCTTCTGGTTTTAATTATGTTGAATAATTGTCTTAGGGGGAAAAGGATATATGATGCAAAGCAAAAATGTACCTCTCTTTACAGCAACTCATGATAAAAAATGAATTCTTCTCTGGAATCTTTTATAATTTGTAGCTATTCTAATACTATATCATGATAGTGTAAGATTAAATAAAAATACCCACAATATATATCAAAATATAAATGATGAACCCATTATCACTTTTCTTTTTTAAATAAACCCATCACTGCATATGAACTTGAAGTATCCCATCTGTTTAGTCCAGCATCATCATATTGGAGGTTAACACTGCTAAGTATTCAAAATAGAACTGTTGATGCAAATACTCTGGACCAAAAATGTCTTGGTACATTAGCAACAATTGGACATGCCAAAGTAACTGACATAAACAAGACACGCCATAAGGCTCTAAAGTATAATCTGCTTATTGGAAACCTTATTAAGTCTTCTCCATATAATTACAACTGTATAAAAATACTACAAGCTGTTGACTCATACAGGATCATTTGAAATGTATAAATATATACATGGTACAGATGGGATAAGGTATATAGATGGCAGAATCAATCTGAAAGGTAAGTAGCAGGTAGCTAAAAGGGCATCTTCTCCACAATACTTACCCCTTCTTCTCTGCAATATGAAGATACATTTTTATCTTAAATAACGAACTCTATAAAATTACGATTCTTAATTAAATTTTCATCATTTATGTCTGAAGATAAGTGAAATTCAAGTTGAAGAAATAAACCCTACATGAATAATTTGTAGGCAAAACCCAAATATAATCCAAGAAGCATGATAGAAACACTTGGATGAAATTAATTTCTAGAAAATTGTCCTGAATGCTAAATACAGTCTTAATATAATGGGAACAAAATTCAACTTTCGTATATGAATGGTATATTTTTATTAAGAGATTTAAAAGAGAAACTACTCTTCTCAAGAATATTTCAAGCAATATAAAACAGAAATATACTTACAGAAAAGCACAAAAAGAACTTTAATGGAGTTCATAACTGGTTTTAGTTGAAAACTAAATTAATAAATTTGTAATATGAGAATAGGATACCTTTTCCAAAACTATTCTACAACCAGCAGAACTTCCAGTCTAGAAGTGATGTACACATCTGGAGAATACTAGAGAACAATGAGGTGTTTCTCTAGATCCATGGCATGTTTTTCCTACATGCATATACAGGTGGAGAATATATCTCCACTGGAATTGCCAGTGAAACAGCATTTATTTCATGCATCTAAATGCTTCAGTACTATAGGGAAGTCTTTTCTACATAGGCATGGATAGTGGATATTTTTATGGCAAAACCATCTAAAGATAGTTTTATTGAAAACATGTAAGCATATAGATTAATATTAAAAATATACTTAAAATTATTCCACTAAAAAACCTTAAACTGTAGCAACATTTGCTTTTGACTGATAGCTACAGTCCATAAAGGCAGCTTTGAATGAATGTCAAAAAGTATATTCATGACTTTTTTACCCAATGGAAATTATTTGTGCCTAGCAGTTTATATATGCAACTAATTGTCAATTTGGCTCACAAAATTGTTCAAGTGACCAAATGCCCAATACCATGAATTACAAGTCCCAAATACTACCTAGTCTAGGAATATGAGATTGTGAGATTGTGAAGGTATCAATATCACAGTTGAAAAAGTAATTTGTACATTATTGAATAAATTGCCAAAAATAATCTCTGGGGCAATGTTATCTAAAAAAATTGTACTGTACTGGAATTTGTGATTGTTTATGATTAAATAAAAATATATCTTGTCTAGTAGATAGCAATAATAGAGTTATTATTGGTCTTGTTCCATCCTATATATCATAGAAAAAGTAAATTAACATCTGATCTAGCTCTAGCTCTTGAATATGCATTATGTTTTTTCTAACAAAGTCTTTATCTTGGATCACTGATATATGTGATTTGGCCTGGATCTGAAATATGTCTTTGAATTTTGATACTGTTGATTGACCCATTTATCATCTAGTCTCTTATGCTTGCCCTCTGGGCTTCTTTGCATTCCATCTATATTTGATACTTTGCTATCTTGCCATCTGAACAAGAATACTAGCTAGCTGTAAAACCTATTTATATGTATAAATCAGTTCCATCCAATATAGATCAGGGACACCCATTCTGTTTTTGATGAGCATATATTCAGTTGCCTACCTCTAAGTAATTGCTGCATACACAGAGTTCAATGCACTACTTAAAAAAAAATTAAAGCAATATAGTAGGATGGATAATTCAAAGGAAAAGAGGAAGGGAGAAAGAGACAGAAGAGACAAGACCAGACAAAAGCATGATGTGATCCATATTATTATGTTTTTGTGTTTTAGTACTCTGAATAGATCAACCCTGAACTGCTCTTTAGAAGGCCAGATCCTGAAGTTGAAACTCAAGAACTTTGGCCACCTAATGAGAAGGAAGGACTCACTGGAGAAGAGCCTAATGCTGGGAAAGATTGAGGGCAATAGAAGAATGGGACGACAGATAATGAGGTGGCTGGATGGAGTCACTGAAGCAGTAGGCGTGAGCTTAAACGGACTCCAGAAGATGGTAGACGACAGGAAGGCCTGGAGGAACGTTGTCCATGGAATCGCGATGGGTCAGACATGACTTCGCAACTAACAACAACAACAACTCTGAATAGTGTTGTACAGGTACACTGAGTTTCAGGATGCATTTAAACAACTGAAAAGATTGTATTGGTTGTTATTTGTTGTGGGTTGTTATTTGTATACAGAGAAGCAGTTGGTACAATTTATTTAAATGTCAGTACTGTTGGAAGAACATGGCAAAACATTAATAATGTATGATATAATTGAAGATACTGGTTATCATTTTCAAAGACTGCCTGAGTCATGGCCTGGGTATCTTCAAGATCATCCTCTCTGAAGTAGATTGCCAATCCAGTAAGATCAAGCAAATAAGTTTTGCTGAAGGTCCTATACCTAAGGGAATTCTACCTGCAGGAACCCACAAATGAGCCTTCTCATTGTAAGCTCTTCTTCTATAGCTAGCTTGCCCTTACACATTCTCACTGCTGGGTTGCTTTTGCAAGGCTGATGAAACCGAGCTCTTTGATAGAACATTGTCAGGTCATTAAGATCTTACTCTCCCCTAACAGACGTACCATTATTGTTTTTTCCTTTTTAGTTCCTTATGATAGTATACCTGTTTAAATTTCTTCTTCTATATGCCATTAAAACACAAGAACCCTCCATCTTTTGCACTTGGTGACAAAGTTTTGAATATATACTGTGACTATTATGCACCTGGAATCAGCCTATAATAATTCAGTTAAGAACTGGACTGAACCAAATTAAACTAAATAATGGCACAGGTACCAAAGACACTGAAAATATGCTATGATTTATTTAAAATATTTTTATATCAATTTTAATTAAAAGTCACCAAAGAGGTTTTTAACATAATTATCCCCAAACCATTTCTTGAAATTGTTTCCCTTCTTATTCCACTTATAGTTAATGCCTAACTATATTGTTTTAATACCTTCATACTTAAAGTCACACTACAGTACAGTTTAGGCATAAACTATCCAGTTGAATATTCTAGAGATTAATGAGAATAATTTCCAAATAGTTTCATAAAAAACTGTAACTTTAATTATCTATACTCACTGTTAGAAAAGGATGTCTAGTGTTTTTCAATACTCTACTTTCTGTAAGTGTGTGAGCCACTTCATCCTAGAAAATAAAAAAAAATCAATATTAAAATTAGTAATTTTAGGAGACAAATCTAGATCAAAATACGATTGTAAAAAACTGCAATAAGTTACTAGAATATCATACACTAAGCATACTTAAAAGGGGAGAGGAAGCAGGATATTCAAAAGCTTCAAAAGGATAAATCATACATGATAGTTCACTATAACAAACAATACTGCTACACCACTATGCTAAAATAATGGTTTTAATCTCCCTTACTATTGAATTATGGAATCCAGTATTTATTGTTGAGAAAATTATTCAGTGTTTCCTTGAATAATCACTTTTTAAAGTATAAAAGTATACAAAGAGATATAAAAAAGTTTTCTGATCTGAAATGGACCATTATGACCAATAGACTAAAGTTAGAATAGTCCACCAAGGGTTAGCCTCCTTTGGTATGTTCAGAATGACCAATTCTAAAATTGGATCAGACATTCTGTGAACAGAACATTTTCATATTGTAATATTTTATGCATTTCTAACATGTGCCACCACAGAAATATATAATTAAGTTCTGGAGCTGAATGCTGTAGACTACGGCTACTATGATATGTAAACAGTATGGAATGACATGTTCTACAACATCTACTGAATCAGTAGGGATGGCCCATAATTAATCAGCAAAAAGTAACTTTGAATGCAATTTGATACAGGTTCAGTCCCAATATCTGATGTTTAAAAAATCAGGCAGGAGGTAAGGTGAAAAAGCTCTGCCTGAAATCTTGGTGAGATGCCAGCAAGAGTAACTATTATGCAACACATAGTTACAGACTGATTTGGTTTAGGGCAATTAGTGTCACGATATACTAACTGTGGGTTCCTTGGTTCTCTCTGAGCTTGGTTGTTTTGTTGCAGACATTTCATTACCCAAACTAGGTAATATCATCAGTGCTAATAAGAAGAGGGGGGTTTGCTCTCAGTTTATGTTCTAGTGGCTTGTATTAGAGGTTCTTAGAGGTTCTTTGGTTGGGCTGTTTACTGTTAGCTCTGTTTGGTTGGGCTATTTACTGTTATACTAACTGTATACCCAGATGCAATATTAAGGTTTTAAGAAATACTTATAGAATTACATGATGTAGGACAGAAAAAAAATCTGAATTTCTGGGAAAGAACAGTTCCTACATTGCAATGAATCTCCTTTCTAGCCTCCATTCAATCAGAAGTTTTGGTGTATATTAAGAGAAAAGTTAAAAATATAATATAAATATTCTTGTTAACTTTAAAATTTGGGTGTGTCTGATTAAAGCCCTTATATCACAATATGATAAAGTTTAAGGACTTATTTTATACTTTATTCCAAGAAGATTTATAGGAGTGAAAACAAAATTTTACAAGCAAAATTATATTAAATGTATAAAACATACCTTTGCAATAATAACTTCCTTTTTTAAAATTTTCATAGCATAGTATTTCCCACTTGCCTTCTCCCGGACCAGAATAACTTTGCCAAAAGTGCCTTTGCCAAGTAGTTTTAAGTAATCAAAATCATTCATTGTCTGTATGAAGTATAAGATGAAATATTAATGGGATTTACAGCTTGCAGATATTGTGTTCATTAAATAAACTATTGCTATCCATTGGTAAAGTCTATGATTATCAAGAAACAAGCAATTCTTAACAAGTCAGTGTGGTATGATTCCAATTCTGATCTCATTTTAATATTACTGTATACAGTAGAAGAAAGCATGTGCACATTTGAAAAGTACACCAACATGTCAATGATCCTACATAGCATATATAATTATATAGCTATACAACGTAGAGAAAAATAATTATTAGATTTATCAAAATGTTTTGCAACTCCCACTTTTAGAAAAATCATCAACTACAGAGAAATATGAGAACTCAAAAACCTTTAACAGGGTCATACTGCTGGCTCTGAAGCTTCACATAAAAAATTCCTATGCCAAAAAAATGACTTCAAAGTAACATCAACAATCAACTTGTTCGTTTTCTTTGCAGAGCTTGCAGATTGCTTTGTGTTCAACCCACCTTGTAAAATCTTTTAAGTGAACTAAAATAAATGTTTGTTCTATACACCATTGCACAATTATCACTAGTCAAAATAGAAATCTAGTAGCATTTCTTATTTTTAAAAAAACCTTCAAAACTGAAAAGGTAATTTTATTATGTAGTGATCCCTAGGAAGAATACATGTTTATAAAGGAAAAACACTGCTTAATAAATAGAATCATTTCGAAGTCTAAGCATTATTTACAGGCTGCTGAAAGCAATCTCATGTGATGTCTAACATCCTTTATGGTGGACATTTAAATTATAAATGGAGAATGATCATTTCCCAGAGATAGGAAAATAACCCTCTGTCTCAAATATTCAATAACTGATATTCCTATACTGTAATTAGTTCCTACACTTTTAAACAAGCTAGGTCTAAAAATCTATCGCTTATTAATGATTTTTTATGAATCACATTAACCAGACAAGATTCGGTTATCTAATAAGATTCAGTTATCTAATAAGACACAGTTCTAATCATCTAGTTGCATTGTGCATCAAATATGCACAATGATAATGTTCTCAGTACTATGCTTCTAATAATCTCACCTAATAACTATAATCAACTGGTAACATCTAGGAAACATAATGTGCTATTATTCTTATTAGATTGCAGGACTTTTTCATGCTCATTTCTCAGGATATATTAAAATAGTAAGCCAATCAATAACCAATACTCTACTGCTAAAGTAATAATTACAATAATATTAGTAACAGCATTGCTTTGATCGCCATTAGAGCCCCCACAAATATCAACATACTGAAGATATCTATTTTGGCATTCACCAGTTTCTCTGTATTAATAAACCACATTATTTTTAACATTTATTTTACTTAAAATAAATATATAACATGAGCTTTGCTAGAAAACACAACAGATTTATTTCAAAATGGGCCACATAGAAGAAAAACTGGAGAAAAAGAGAGGGGAGAGAGAGGAGGATATCTTTGCATGTTCGCATTCTAGTATATTAGTAATTTATGACCAGATATTCAGCCTCTTCCTGCCAAATTTTTAGAACTGTTGATAATCCAATGCAAATGCCAGTCCAAACACCTATCAGCCCAAGAAAATTAAAGGTTTGTACTTTTTAGGAATGTGCATCACTGGGTAAGATGTATCCTACCAAAATTCAATATTTTTAAGCAGATTCGCTATATCAGTTCTATAAGAAAATTTGGAATTAAAAAAATCCACAGATACCGTAAATATATCGGCATACCCAATCTTAAATAATTTTATTCTTTATTCTTTTAATCTCTTATAACAGTTATTCTGTCTACTTTCTACAACCACAGGCTCCTCTAAGTATCTGTTTGAGTGTGTGAAAATGAAAATAGTTCATTTCCACAAAGAAATTTCTCTCTTCTCCCCCCGCCCCGTGTGTGTGTGTGTGTGTGTGTGTGTGTGTTATGTTTGTACTTAGTTTTAATGTGTGCTATGATTATTCTCAACCCAGAATCACTAGTTTGAGATGGCTGGCTATAAAAAATGAATGAATGAATGAATGAATGAATGAATGAATGAATACAAGATCAAAACAAATCTCTACTAGAGCTGCTCTCAAATTGATCAGATTTGTAAAAGAGAACTCATAATACCCTAACAAACAACCAGCTGAAAATTTTAATTGCAATGGAGTAGCTGTTCACAGCTACAGTGATGTCTATACAGTAATAATCTGCGCAGAGGAGTTTTCAAAAGTCTTTCTCTAATCTCATCTCAACTATCTAACGTATACAAAATAATATCCTATAATCCTTAAATGTTTTGAAATTAAATTCTTTGACCTAATAAAACAACATTTAAACTGTTAGGGTACAACCACAAAAGGCACATTTGAAGAAAAAAAGGTGAAGCATTGGAAAAATGAGTGTTCACTTTGCCAACCGATGAGCAAAAAAAAAAGGCAGTATTAAACATTAAACAATTAATTGCTCACAAAGGCTAACTGGTATCCAACCCTAGTTAATATTTGAATTAGGGGCTACTTAAAAATTTGTGCTACTAGTTTGAGTAGGAGGTTGAAAAAAAAAATCCAGAAGAGGACAGTGATAAACCAATTTTATAATATTGCCTCAAGAGCCAAATGCACCTGGCCCTAGAGTCAAACTTACTTAGCTGAAGCTTAGCAGAGTCTTATTCTTAATGAACTTAAAATAATGACATTCTACAAAATAACATTTTCTTCCAAGAAACTTTTTAATATGCAGTTTATATTCTATAACAAGCTTTCAGCTAGCTTCCTCTTTTTACCCTCATTCTTGTATCATCACATAAGAGAATAATTATTTCCATGAATGATACAAAATATAAATGACTTTTGGGAGACAGAAGAGAAGATGCCACTCAGCATTACTAAATTACAGTGCTGCTCAGAATTAAACCATTATTTTCCCTATTATTCTAATTAAAGAAGAAATAACTAGTGAACAAACAATACACATTTATGGTGCTAAGAATATGGAATATTTGCACCCTGCCTATCCACAAAATGTTTGCTAATATTCAAAACCATTGATATGTCAAAGACCAACAAAGCCAATGAAATTCAAGTAAAAATAGATTCAAAATAAAAAATAAAAATATCATGAGCAAACAGTCAATAAATACAACCGACAGAACTAGTGTTAGTCTGAAAAACATCTTGTGTATGCAGCAAACCTACTACTGCAAAATAATCTCTTTGAACTTTAGAATGTCAGCTGATAAACTTTAGCACAATTTTAATGTTACAAATAATACGGTTTATTATATTATATACTGCATATGAACCTTAGTTTCACATAGTCTCATCTACTTTTCCTATTTCTATAAAGCAGAAAAAATATGTCTGTAACTAAGAGCAATAAAAACTTTTTAAAATGTAAGTATTAACCAATGTTCTAAATACCTTTCTTTTATGGTGGGTTGTCGAGGCATCCATCTCTTCCTCTCCTATATTATCAATCTGGGATGTTGGGCTGCAATTCATTCTTTCCTCTTCTTGCCTCTGAAGTCTGTCCGCTACTGCTTGGATGGCTTCTGTCCATTCTTCCCTGTTGATGCATATAATTAATTATTAGATAAATTCCTATAATGATGCAAAACATTAAAAAACATCTGACTGAATATACACATAAACAATACACAACAATGGGAGCAAACAAGTTTGATACCGCATTCCTACCTGGCTGTGCTACCACTTAGGACAGAAATTTTCTATTGCTTTTATCCCTACAGATCATGTTCACATATACTGTATGTATATGGATGGATTTCTAACAGTATGTAAGTGGATCAAAGCAAGTCAAAATAGCAAATGTTCAATTTTAAATAGTAAGTTATGCATGTGGGCAGAGATTTTAAAAAATAATGGAGCTCAACTTCCAGCACAAATATATGATGTAATCATTTTTAAAAGCATACATTTTTCCCAGAAATTGAATTATTGTTTAATTATTCTCAATTTTCTGAAATAAACCATCACTAAAAAGTTTTTGAGCTAAATTTGTATATGACAAGCAAATATCTGTATACTAAATAGTACATGAAAGTAAATCTAAATTTACTTATATATTTATGTAATAATAAAATCTAGAAGTAATTTAAATATATTTATGAATATAAATGGAAAATATAAAAATAAAAATCATAATTTTGCAAGTGAAGTTAGCAAAACTCAAATAACAATGTAGGACTGGCAAACATCATCCCATATAGAAGTTATCATTAATAAATTAAAATAAATCTTGGGGTTGCACTGAAAATCCACTCTCTCTCCAATATGTCCTCGTGTGTAATGAACACAGCCTACAGTTGAAATCACATTTTTTTTAAAAGTAAAACATATGTATGCTGCCTGAAGAAATGTAAATCTGGCCATAAGGGAGAAGACAGCAATGGACTCCAATTCAGTCTTGGGAAAGCAGGTAGCTTGAAGAAGAAACTTAAAATAATCCCAGCTGATTAAGATAGGGCAGAAAGACCCTGAAAGGATCTCAAGATTTTGTTATTTTACCCTACAGTAATAAAGACTACTCCTGCAACCTCTGCTGCTTCTGTTTCTTTACCATTCTAACATAAAGGAGTAAGATCTATCTTGAAAGTCTCAATATTCTGTCTCAGACAGTCATGAGATCTTGCCTTCTAGATCTAGAATATGGCACAGATTCTTGTGGTTTCCCTGAGAACAGAAGTCTTATTGCTGCATGGAAAGGAGTTTAAATACAAAATTACAAATCTATGAAGTGCCATAATACAGCAAGCACATCTTGTGGAACAAGGCTTACTTCACCCAGGAAATCACCCGAAAACTGCTATACGGTGTTATTCCATTCCCTTGCAATTGACTTGAGAATTCTGATGGAACTCTCAATAGATTCCTGACATTTATATGTCAGAAATTATGCAAATTTTGCTGGTATTGGGGAAAATAGGAAGCAGTTCTTATAATTCTTGATCAGGTATATATGATGATATGCATCATCTTAACTCCTGGAGCCAACATCTTGGCTAAAATATCCAGCAGCTGAACAAGTTTTGGGATAATCTAAAGAAAAGGTATATTCAGTTTTCTAAATCTCACACATCTGCACCATTATTTTTTACAAAAAAATAAACAGTTCTTCTTTGGGACTTGTTCTTGATTACTGACTTCTAAATTATACCAAGTTAGTCTTTGACTTATGATTGTTCATTTAACAATTGTCCAAAGTTACATGAACTTTTAAAAAGCTACTTACGACTTTATCTCCAACTTTCAACTACCAGCACAGTTATGTGATCACATTTTGGGTGCTTGGCAACCAGCTTGCATTCACGACTGGTTGCAATGTTCCATGATAACATAACTGAGATTTGCTACTTTTTTGCTGGTAACATCCATTCAGAAGAATGGATTTGCTTAATGACCATCTAATTTGCCTTATGAATGCAGTGACTCACTTTACAACTGGCATAAAAATGATCATAAAATCATGTCCAGTTATGTGGTGCCTTACAACATCAACAACTTATGACCAAAACTCTGGGCTCCACTGTGGTCATAAGTGAGGGACTATCTATAACCATTAGAGATAATGACTCTCTATCTCTTCTTTTAGAACTGCTTGATTGCCTTCTGAAGGCACACATATCTTTAGTACATCAGACTTGAGAAACAGTCATAATTTGATTCAAATCACATGATTATTTAAAAGCTTTTGACACACAGTATGGCAAATTTAAATATACAGAAATGCCCCATAGTTCAATTAATTGCTCACAAGATTCATATGTGATGCAGGAAAACATAGCCTCCTGTGAGCAATCCACAGCTCTTGATTGTAAGTGCCTGCAGACTCAGTGCTTAGTAAGCATAAAGGCTATTCTGAAGAAAAGGTAGTAATAGGGATTGGGGAAACAGTGGGGGAAGATATCAGAGGATAACAAAGAGAAGCCTGTGGAGGAAGTGCCTGCTGGAATTATGTACTTTTATCAAGCCTATATAAACAAACTCCCCCATCTTTCTATGTTGCCTGGCCAGGACTCAATTTAATGCCCAGACAGAAAAGATAGCTGGTTAATCATACTGTAAAATCTTAATTCTGGGAAAAGCATACAAATACGAATAGTCTATTCAAAAATAAGCCACTGTTCAGAATTTGAGAATTTCTTCTTCCCAGCTGCCACTCATACATCCAGCTCCCAGTTACCCCTTTGGTGTGCAAACAGATGCTTTGGACTCTGCCTTGAGAACTGTTCTTCAAATTTCGTCAGAGGAAAGAACCTCCTCCTTTGTATGTTTTATTCCAGTTTTCTTTTCCTGGCTGAAAAAAACTATGATATTTTCAATAAAAAGCTGCTAGCCTTAAAAGCAGTGTTTCAACAATAAAGGCATTTCTTGGCAGAAGCAATCCATCTCATAAACGTACACCTAAAATACAAGAATTTGGAACATCGACAAAAGGCACAAATACTGAGTCAATGTCAAATCAAGTGTGCAAACTTTTTCTCCCATTTTAGTTCCTATATCACCTATGCTCCTATTTCAAAGAACAAGCTTTCATTCATTAGCAAAGAGAGATCCAACCTAGAATTAAGGAAAAATGTCCTGACAGTGAGAATATTTATTTGTTTATTTATTTAGCATATAGCATATCATACATGGACTAGCAATATATATTAACATTACATCTAGATAGGTAAAACACAATAAAATATGTTTAAAAGAGCTATGTTCAAATACCAATGTCTACGCCATCTAATCATTGAAGCACAGTATCGTTTATATTTTTTTAAAAAACAGATACTGGTCCGGTATATGAAAACAATAAGTGGAACAGCTTGTCCAAAAGTTGTGGGTGCAACATCACTGGAGATTTTCAAGAAAGATTAGACAGCCATTTGTCCAGAATGGTATAGGATCTCCCATCTGAGCAAGAAGTTGTACTAGAAGACCTTCAAGGTATCTTTCAATTCTATTATTCTAGAAAATTGTGCACTAGCTGATTATCTAAAGTACAGCCAAGAACAAGTATTGATCATTAAAAACTGGAGCTTACTAAGTGTACAGGAAATAAAGTTAGTATCAAAATAATGTAAAATATACAAATAGAATGCTAGCAGGGAAAAGCATTACCTGGTCAATTTCTCAAAAAGATTTAGCAGAAAATGGATAAAGATAAAGTGTGGCAATGGCTTACAACTGGAACATTAAAAAAAACCTGAAGATTTGATTTTGGCTGCAAGCTGTTTAAACTAATGCAATCATAGCCAGAACTGAAAAATTGTCAAATGATTCAAGGTACAGATTGTGCAAAGAAGCGGAAGAAACAGATCATACAGTCATGCAAGAAGTTGCACAAACTGAATATAAACAATGACTTGATACAGTTATCAAAATGATTCACCAGAACATCTGTAAAATTACAATCTCCGGTAATAAAAATTGGTGGGAATATATAACTGAAAAATCAAAACATGAGCAGGTTAAAATATTATTAGATTTCCAAATACAGACTGATAAATTCTCAGCTCATGACATACCAGACATAACTGTAATTGAAAAGAATAAGTGTGGATAATTGAAGTGGCAATATCAGGAGGTAGGAGAATAGAAGACAAAGAATTGGAAAAGATCACTATGTATCAAGATCTGAAATGTGAAACTAAAAGATTATGGCATAAACCAATCAACGTGTGCTGCAAAATGCTACACTTAGATCCACACATATACTACACTGATACATTATTATGATATTCTAGGTTTTTGAGAAGAACTTGATGCATATGAAGATGAACACCAGCTAACAAACTGGCAGCTGTGACTTCACATTGTTGTAAGCCAATAAAAATAATACTTTAGAATTCAAACAAACCCCAGATTTTAATCATTGTCAATAAGAAAACAAAATCTAGATAGCGGACTTTGCAGTACTGGAGATGGGATAGAAGAGAGAGAATAAAAATCTGCAAATAGGAATAGAATAACTGTGGCAAAAAGAAAGCAAATATAGCACCAAGAGGCGCCTTGCGTGCAATACTAAAACATCTGGAGTAGGGGTCCCCAACCTATGGGCCGCGGCCCACTACTGGGCCGCAGTCTATTGGCCGTTGGGCCTCGTGAGTGGCTGAACTGTGCACGTGTGTGAGCATGCACAGCCCCACTCGTGCGAGCATCACTGCAAATGTGGGCATTCTTGGCCCCACTCACTTGAGTATCACAGGTGATTGCAGCCCCACTTGCGTTAGTACTCATGGCCCCACTCGTGCAAGCAACAGGTGTTCATGCACACGTGCGCACGCATTCACTCCCTCCACAAAACCATCCCTTCTTTCCCCCTTCCCCCCATTCCAGGCTGCCACCCCTGAAAGGTTGGGGACCTCTAATCTGGAGCATCATTGAAACACCACTGGCATTGATAAAACCATTGTCAACTGCAAAAGGCAGTTTTACTTGGAACAACTTACCTTGTGTGATGATACCTTTAACACTATCAAACAACATCTGCTTATCACAGAACCTTGGGAAGGGTTCAATAGGTTGATAAAAATGCCAAATCTAGCCTTAACATCTGGTTGACTGTGCAACCAACTATAATAATACTTTAAATAAGAACAGTGTCCCTGGATTTTATTACTATTCTTCTAGGTGTGCAGTTAATTCAGTGGTAGTGAATTTGTTTACCCAGATAGCTCATGTTATTGCTTGCAAGGTCTATATCTGCTCAAGAGACTACACAACTCTTTCTAGATCACACTTCCCGATATAGATGCTTACTCAATTATGTGATATTAGACTGTGGCTTTCAATTTATATCCAAATTTTGGAGATGGAATATATTATTTGAATGGTACTTCCATTGCTATGTCTCTCATTAACCAGATAATTGGATTGATTTATTGCATTTTGCAGAATCTGTCTATAACATCTCACCACATTCCTCCATCAGTGTGTTGGCCTTTCAAGCACTCTACAGCTATCACCTATGGATCTTGCCCTCCATTCCTCTTGCCTCCATTGTTTGAGCCTCTGATTTTCACCAGGTAACATAAGCTACACAACTTTCATTAAAGTAGTAGTTAGCTTTAGCCAAGGCTGCGTACAAATGAGCAGCAGATGCTTATAGGCAAGAGGACACCAAGATTCTAAAGAACATTTGGTGTTGTTTTCCACTGCATTTCTTGCTTCATCCCACCTATCCAAAAAGCCAGAGTCCAAGCTTATTGGCTGCTTGTCAGCCCTATAAGACAAATTAGACCAAGAAACAGATGCCAGCTGTGCCAAAAACTACTTTTATTAAGATTAGCTATAACAGAAGTTTACAAATCTGAATGTATTTTTCCTCTGTTTTTATTTTCATGTGAATTTAGAGATGTATCTCTAAGACAATTTCATACCAATCCCTGTTGTTTGTGTTTATGCAATGTTTATGTTTGTTGTCTTGGTAACAGAACTTCCCTCTCTTTGTCAAGGTCACTCTCTTTACTTTCTATACTTATTCCCTGTTACACATCAGATTATCCCAGTGACCATCCTTCTGCAATTGCCTGCTTTAGCCTTGTTTAATCTGGTATTTTACCAGTTACTCCTTCTGCCGCTGCAAGGCAAAACATAATGTGGACTCCAGTTATAGGAAGGGATATGTAGAATAACTGAATTGAATACCCTGCATTGAAGGGATTGTGGGAGGGAGCAAAGGATTATCTGCCAGTTCTATCTGAAATTTTCACACAAAACCTGTCCCTGTGAACTGCATCCAGAATTGCCAGATACTGGCTCTAGAATGAAGAAGAATCTTTGTTCCCTGCCAAGTCAGATTCTTCAGTTGCAGTTGCTGTACAACAGGAGGATAAGAGACACTTTCCAATTCCATCTCCATCTTCATCAGATTTATTTACTGACCTTGACAAGCTGCTAAACTTATATTCACACAAAAATGATTATGTTCCCATGGCCCTTGATGAGTTCTCTGGCCCATTATCATGTGCAGGAGGGGAGGTATGTTTCTGGCAGGGGAAGTAATATGAAGTATTGAGCTTGGGAAGGGAGAAGAGGATAATAAATGTTTAGAGATAAGAAAAGACAACTTTGTCTTGAGAAAGTGGAAAGCATTGAGAGAGAAATTCAAAATAAACCTTGATTTTGTTTGGCATAAGATAGAAACGTTCACAGGCTTTCAAGATTCTGTTTTTCTATCATATGTTAACACAAAGCTTTTCTACAGTTCTGCTGCTTTTGTTTCTTGACTGTGCCTACCTTAAAGGTCTGACACAACTCAAGTCAACTTTAAGTCACAATTAAACCCTATAATTAATTTGTAGCTGTTACCTATGAATTAGGAATATTTTAACTCATAATTTCAATAAATGAATACAAATTCTCAAAATGCATTTTTTTTTCTTCTAAAAACTCTGCCAACATTTAAAAAGCCCAACAAGACACACTTGGATTTATTTCTCACCGTTCTTCTGGAGTATCTACATGAAATGTTCTTTCTATCACAGTGGTCCACTGAAGACATCGAATAATAAATGTGTTCGGTTTTGGTCTCTCTGTTTTCATTAGTTGGCATTCTAGAAAAATAATATTTTTATAACAAACTGAAGCAAAATACTCTGTTATAAAATACATATAGATACATGCATGTTCAGTCTTTCACACATATGCATACACATTTACTCCACTCCTTAGGAGAAAAATAATTAAGTATGTGTGAAAATGAGCTGGAATGAAATATAAATGAGTTATATTCAGTTGAATCCAAATGCTGACAAATTTCCAAGAACAGATGAAAGGTCATTTATGATCCCTTTCCTTTGCAGTTCCTGGCAGTATCCCCATCAAATCTTTAGCATCAGGTCAGAAGATGACATTCTAGATAACAAGGAGAAAAAGTTCCTCTACATTCTTGCAAAGCAAAGAGACTGGAGAGGTTGGGATTACAAAAGAGTAAACTTATTCTGCAATGATTGTAAATTCAAACATTATTTCCCTTCTTGTTAATGGATGAGCATCTGAGGTTGGAAGAATGGAGAGAAAGGAAAGTTGAAATAAAACGGAAGCACAGTCCCAGTTACATGATTTTCTACTTAGCAACCAAACTGCCAGTCACAGTTGTGTTCACTAATTGAGCACTATCTATATATAACTATTTCATTGCCCTGATTATTTATTTATTCAATTTCTAAAGCTGCCAGCTCAACCAAATGACTCTGGGAAGTTTACAATTCTTAAATTATAAAACAATTAAAAAGCATTTAAACAATAAAAAATCCACAAAATACATAAGTATAAATAGCAGCTATGATGATTAATTGACCAATAGTAAAGTCAAGTAACAGCTCCCTTAATACATTCCAAGACCAAGACCTAGGTACCTAGCCAAGTTTTTAAAGCTTTGTGAAAGGCCAACAGAGTTGGGGCCTTTTTATTTGTGTGGGGACACTTGTCTGCACTATGTACACAAACTTTGTACACAGACTTTTACAGCAGTGTGAAATAGTCATGAGTCCCTTCGCACCCACAAGAGATCTAAGTCCAGCCCACCTTGAATTCCTTTCCTGTTGCTTCATTTTTTAGTATGACTATTTGCTTCCCATTCATTTTCTAAATTAAAAACTAAAAAGAATATAAATTTAGCTAGGGCAAGAGCTTGACAGATACTAAGGAATGTGTTTGCAGGAAAATTATGCCCCTGGCCATTATTATGGTAGGTGGACCAAAAATAAGCACCTGCAGGAACTACCTAGGTCCTAGGACTTCTATCTCTCCATATATTGTTTTTGTCAAAGTATTTAATTAAAAAAAAATACTATTTTTAAATTTAAAATTGTTTTAAGAAAAGGTATATTATCTGAAACATAAACAGCCAATTAAAATTAACATTCCAATTTTTAATAATTAATTCAGGAGTCAAAAAAGCAGGTTCATTTGAAGTATTTTTTTGGCCTTCCAATTGTTTTTTAACTGTAACCAAAATTATTACAAACTACAAGTATCCCCAAGCATCCATCAGCACAGGAAGACGTATCTGTGGGTACAATACCCCATTATTCCCATACTGCTTCTCCCCCTACCCTTTCCATACAACCTTGACCATCCACTTTCTCTCTATTTCTATTTTTTCCACTCTTTCACACAAGCACATTCACAATTAGCCAAATGCAGAGATATATCTACACTGGAACGCCACAGAACTTCGGATTTGATTCCAAAGTTGTTCAAAGTAAGTGTCGGTGTAAATATAGTACCTGTCTGCAACTAATAAACAAAATCTGCATCTTTATTCAGTATTCTATAGCACACACAGAAGGCAAGTGTGCAACTTCAGGAAAAAATGTAACTGCTTTAATGAGTTGAAAACAGATGCTACATTCACAAACCCCACCTGATCTAAATCACCTTTTCAGAATAAAATCTAATGTTCTGCTCAATTCCAACAAATATAACTTTAAAGCAGTGAAAAGTTTATCTTCTATTTTTATTCCCAGGATGTATTCCTATCACAAAATTCCCATCTCACATGAACTATACTTTGCCCTTGTAGCCTAAATCTCTAGTTGCTATTGAAGAGTAAATTGAAACTCTGAAAAAGTGTCTTAGCCAATAGTAATGAGATTTATAAACTTATGCTACTTTGGTATTACAAATGATGCCATTAATTTATGAGCCTGAATTTCCCTCATCTCTATAATTAATTTACTTTGAATTACAAATAGTCCTTAACTTACAACCATTCATTTAGTGACTTTTTGAAGTTACAACGGCACTGAAAAAATTATGACCATTTTTCACACTTACAAGCATCGCAGCTTCCCTGTGGTCACATGGTCAAAATTCAGACACTTTGCAACTGGCATGCATTATCTGGAAATTAACATAAAGTGCAGTAGTGCTTTGGATCCTCTTAAGACAATAAAAGGCCAATGCACAAAATATTCATTTGTGTACTTTCTTCCCTCTATTTGCTTCTAGACATTACCTATTTCAATATATTTTTAGTTCACACCTTTTGTACACTGAATTCACAAGAATAGTAATATGTGGAGAAATCTGAAATATAGCTAACACTGTCTTTTGATTGATTAATTTTACCTTCTTGAAGGAAAGATATTGATCACACTGATATTGAATTATATACTTTGGACAGGGTCCTATTTATATATAGGCCCAGCACAACTGCACCACCCTTTAAAAACTCTTTGAAGGGCCTGAGGTTTTACAGCAACTCAGTTTTCACAAGGCTGCTCAATGAAGTGCATCACAAAAACATAACTCAAACTACTTTACAGTGATGAAATAAAAGCACAGACCAAAAATGGGTATGAGAGCATTATGAAAACTATTCAAATAGTACAGCAATCATTAAGGGGTGATTGATTCAGTTTTGTTAATTAATTAAACATTCAAATAATTTCATACATTCATGTAACACAAAATTATGATGAAGATGAGATCCTCTAGGACAGAAGTCCCCAACCTTTTGGGCACCAGGGACCCGTTCTGTGGAGAGAGGTTCTTCTGCAGACCAGAGGGGGCGTGGTTTTGTGTGCTGTCTGCATCCTGTGGATGGGGATTTGCTTGCTTGCACGGCCCAGTTTCTGGCATGCCGCGGCCCAGTGCCGGTCCATGGACCGGGAGCTGGGGACCTCTGCTCTAGGACAGAGGTCTCCAACCTTTCCAGGCTCATGGACCAGAGGGAAGGAAAGCAGCTTCAAAATTGGTGTGCACGCATGCGCATACACACTTGCACAGCACTAGCGGCCCCATTTGCGCATGTGGCCTGGCCTGGCACCATGCACATGCGCGAACGGCCACGCCCCCCCCGTAGTGGCTAGCGACCCAATTTGCACATGCAGAAACAGGCCGTGCAACCCATCCAGATTGCAGCCCCTTTTGCGTATGCGCAAACAGGCTGCGGACACTCGCCCTGCGCTAGCGTCCCCGTTTATGCCTACATGCATGCACATAAGCTTTCTAAATTTACACCTAGATATAAAACAATAACCTATTGGCAACAGGTGATATAAGGCATATTTTTGTTTCATTCAAAGCAATATTAACAAATCTGATAAATTACAAAATAGTAGGTCCATATGTCTGTATGTTTTCGTCCTGATTATTTCAGAGAAATTACACACAAATCTGACTTGAGTAAACTATACTACTTCCTGATTATGAATACTTAAAGTTGTTTATGATAACATATTTATATAACACAAGCCATTTTTTCTGCTGCATCTCTGAAGTGTCTACACACATAAACAAAAGTTTGACTGCTGGATGATGCCAGAAATAAAAATATTTGAGATAAATTGCTCTTAACACCCATTCTGTCTTGCTACTTATTGATTGAAATCTAGAATGCATGCAGTGATATAGTCATCCATCTTCAAGTGACTTAGCCAGAGGGAAATACATATATAGCATCAGGTTGCTAAAAGTATCAGAAAAGTAAACATTGTCAAAAAAATGCAAAAACAATTAAAGAGGCTCATTGAGATACCACAGTAGCTCCATATTTTATTACTGGATCCCTTGTACAATAAGCTTTTATCCCTATAATCTATAATAGTACTATAATTAATTATGTATTTAAATAATTTCAGATTTTTGCCTTTGCTATTCTAGTGTGTTTTAAAGAATACTGTAGCCAAAGTGGCATTTACAGAAAAATGATGACAGAAAATGAACAAGAATGACTTTTGTAATGCATAAGTTAGATTTGTTTAAAAAGCAGGGAAAATAGAAATTGGAAAGAGGCCTTTAACAGGAAAATTGCTCCATTATACTTAAATTTTCTCCCTCAAATTCCAAAACTCAAAAAAAAATCACTCATCCTTTCTATTCTTACCCACAATGTCTTCTGAAGTCATCCTGCAGACCACGGAGTTAAGTTGCAGCTTAAAAGTTGTTCACTCCTGAAATAAATGCTTCATTTTGAATTAGGATAATACTGATAAAATTAATAAAATAATCCTAGAAGAACTTTAGTACTGTTTAATAGAAAATGATAACTTCACTGGATTATTTTAAAAGATTTTTTAATCAATCAATTTTTATTACAGTCACAAAGCAAAAAGGGTTTTAAATATAATACTATAAAAATAAAATAAAAATATACTAAATTTAACAGAGTAGACAGCAAGGGTTTTACCAGTTGATAACTTAGCAGTATGTTTTAATCTAGCAGGTGAGGAAAATGGACATTTCTCCTTTATTCCTGAGTAACAAATAAAAGTTATAAAACATGAAATCTGTTAGTGTGTATCAAATAAAATTAAGTGCTCATTAACCATCTAATAAGTGGAATTGTTTCAAAGGTAAGATTGATGGAGGAAAGAATTGGAAAGTTTAACAGTTGAGTTCATATTGAAATCATATTTTATTTTAGGAAGAGAAAAAACGTCTACATGCAAACCTACACTGTTCTTCTAGAATTCCAGGATAGTAGTACAGGTAGTCCTCACCTTCAACCATTCATTTAGTGACCGTTTAAAGTTACAACAGCACTGAAAAAAATGACTTATGCCTGTTTTTCACACTTACGACCACTGTAGCATCCTCATGGTCA